TCAAGCATTTTGACCTTGGAAGAAACACTTCAGCGGAGTGATGGTTGCAAGGTTGGTTCTCTGCTTGACAAGCATCAGGGCTGGAATACCCAAAAAGAGTACACTTTTGGAAAGATGGGAGCATGTGATGATACAATAATAATCAATAACACCTCAAAATTATAGAAAAGCAAAACCCTATTCAAATAGAAATTACTTTTTCATCCTTCTGGGGGTTACCATTGCAGCCCTGGCTTTCTGTGGGACTGGCATTTGGCATCTCAGTCCTGCAATGGTGAGTTTGGATTGAATGAATCATTGACAGATATCTCTATGTGAACATATATGAATATATGTATGTATATATATATATATATATGCATGTGTATATATATAATATATATATATTACAATGCGTATGTATATGCATATAATAGTGTGTATGTGACTGCGTGTGTGTGTGTATGTTCGGTTAACTAATTATTTATTTGTTTAGTTATTTATTTATGTGTTTATTTATGTACATATACGCGAACATAATCGAATATATTTATATATGTAATATATAATACTTATATATATTATTGTGTTATTATACATATACATAAATAGCTTATGTGTGTGTTCCGTGAGTGTAAGTATGCATATGCAAAACATATGTATACATATGTCCATTGAAACCAAACTCTGGTATTAGCAAAACAAACAAAGCACACAATACTATGATAATGTCCTCAGCACAGGTTAAAGCCAACTGAAGCCACCTCCTACCCTTGGTTTCCAATGGTTTCCATATATATTTCATGGAAAATCTAATGTTAGCACCTCCAAAAAAATCAAGAAAGATAGACAAGTCGGAAATTGGGAAACCATCAGATTTTCGCTGTTCTATCTTGTTGGATGTGTCGCAGAAGCAAGAGATGCAGGACGCAACGATTTTCTTCCGATGGTGGTGTGACTGCAGGGCGAATCGGTGTTAGACCAAAATGGCTTCAGATGACAACTCAAACATCGCAATGCTTCTGGTAGATGTCTGACTGCCAATCAATGTTCACATGACAGCAAAACGTGGAGGTTTCTTCTGACAGCACCCCTAAATTTCTGTTGAGTTGACATCTGGTCAGCAGGAAAAAACCGATCTGCCGGAACTCAGCTGAGGCCCGTTTGGACCTGTTTCTACTTGCCGGGTCATTCTTACGCCTCGCCAGCTCGTCTTCTTCATCCCAAAGCGCTAGAGTGGAAGTTTTGAAAAGATCTTCTAAGGCGCCGTTGCTCTTGGAAATGTCGTCTTTCGTGAGGGTGTCAGCTACCATTCTTGGGTGAGGGGTTCAGCGCAGCAGTGATTTTGATCTCCTCATAGCTTCAATAATGATGGCTATCTCAATGGAGGTTCGTCTGTCTTGGCGAGACGATGGATTCTCCTTCTTGAGGGAGTCAAAGAGGCTCTTGGCGTCTGTGATGCCGCACTGCGTGAGCAAGCCACCTACGTGATGGTTGAGCTCACAGTCCTCACGCAAGAGACCCACATAAGGCAACAAAGATTTGGACCAGTCGCATCTGTTGACATCGCCATGAACGATGTCACGCACCATAATTTGCAACCACTCCATCTCGCCCAAGGCTTGAGAAAAGGCTAAGGCCTCACTGGCAAGGGTAGACGAAACTCGTCTTTTTAACTTGGCTGATCTCCATGACAAGATGGATACCTTTGTCTTGACAGAGGCAGAAGGGACTCGATCGGCCGCCATGATGATCCAGGCTCCTTGGATAGTATCTTGTAATTCTCCAGAGGGCTCTGTAGGCGGTTTGCCATCTACTCCTCCGGCGTCTGAGGCGGCCACGAGGGTCATTCTGTCCTGGTCAAACTTGTGCAAGACAAGAGGTTGGCTGGCAGTCTTGCGTAGATGAGCGATTGTCTTATTGAGACAGGCTACGTCGTGGACTGTGGCACACTTGAGGCGACTAGCCAGTATACTCACAACGCCGGAAGCTTCTGGTCTGGTCTGATGAGCAACCCAGTTGACCTTGTAGAGCATGGAGCGGAAGGCTTCGAACTCATCAGGGGCCAACAAGGATTCTCGGTGAGAAAGTCTCCCCTTGGCTAGAGGAACTGGTTGTATCTTCTCCAGAATATATTTCTCCTGATGCATGATCACCTTGTTCTTGGTGACGCAGATGTGCCTACCTGCAAAGTCAGCTTCATCTGATTCCCATTTGCCAAAGATGAACCTTTTGGTTAGCTCTTCCTTGAGAACTGGGAGATAGGCCTGAGTAGTGGCAATGTTCAAATCGTCAACCTCGATGAGGACCTGAGCAACCACCTGACCATTGACCCTTTTAACCATCCAGCAAGGCTCGAGGAGAGACCTCGTGAACCCAAGATCCTCAAAGAATGCTAGCAAGGTCCGGTGCCATCTCAAGGGACTGTCGTCAAGGCCATAAATGGGAGCTACAATTTCGATGAGGCAACCTTCTGGCACGTCGATGCCTTCGCATGGTCTCGCAAATATTCTTCCCTGTGGTCTGTCCAGCTTATTGGCTTGACAGAAAGCGTTCTTGATGTCCAAGAAACTTACTGACAAGCCCAAATTCAATGACAGTTGGAAGAAGAGAGTGATAGACTCCGTGCTGGGCATAGGAGAGAAAACCTCAAACGTGCCAGAATCAGGGTCCATGTGACCGTGTAGGCACCATCGACTCTTGTACTTGAAGGATCCTACGCCTGGCATAGGTTTCTTCCTTCTGATCATCCTGCTGGTGATCACGCGGTCTGGTTGATCGCGAAGAACTTTGGCTGACTCCTCTTTGGAGAGGATTCTGGCTGCTTTGAGACCTAAGATAGAGGCCCACTCGTCGGCATCAGAACCTTGAAAGCCGAGCATCTCTTCTGGCGTGGCATGTTTCATGTTGAACTCTGAGTTCTTGGTCTTGACAGGCTTGGCCATGAAGTTCTTGTTCTCTGAATCTTCCTTGATGGTAAAAAAGGAAATCAAATCCCTGTTGAAGAGATCGCCGTCGTCTCCATCGCTGTGAGCATGTTCTGATATACGTGTCTGCTCCTGAGACTCCACGGCTGGTGCGGAATCAGCCTCATGGGTTCTATGTGGATTGACGTCTGAAGAGCTTGCCGTGTCTGAAGCCGATGGCCTGGGGGGAGCTGCTGCTTGAGAGGCTTGACGCTGCAGCCTCTCTTCACGGTTCAGTCGTCGCAATTCTTTCAGAGCTGCACGCTCAAGCTGCTCCGTCTCTAGGTCGGAAACACGCTTCTTGACATAGCCGCCCTCGGACGGTGGAGTTTTCTTGATCCTCTTGGGTTCACTGGCTTCAGAGTTGGAGGACGGAGTTGGTTCCATGAGAGGCTCTTCTTGGGTCCTGCTAGACCACTGTCTTGGCAATGCAGGGGAAGGTCTACGAACTTCTGCATGAGGAGGAGGAGTGGCGGGTGCAGGTACCTCAGGAATGATATCTCGCAACAGAGGCTCGGGAGCGGCGGCCTCTTCAGGGATAGGGGGCAACTCGGCCTGTTGCGGAAGATGTGGAGCTTCTAAGGCTGGCACTTCCACATGGTGAGGCTGAGAATGTTGATCCCAAGCTTCTAAAGGAGGAGTGCCCTCGGACTCCACGTCAACGGCGCCAGCTCGTTTGCCCTTGACCTGCTCTAGCACGTCCGACAGCTCCTCGTTGCCAATGAGCTCAGCCCCAAGAGACTCCATGTGATTTGCCGCCCGAAGCTGATCCGAAGAGCACTTCCAAATGCGTGATCTCATGGAGACCCAAACTGAGTGGCCATCTTGGATGATGACCAGGCCTGGTCCAACCCACCGGGATCGAGTCATATGCCCGCTGCCAGTGCCGGGACACTTGCGGTAGACGTAGACCCACTGGCCTCTAGACCATGTTCTCTGAGGTCTCATCCTCTGCGAAAGGCTCAGCCTGACTTTGTCTTTCAGGTTGGAAGCGACGCAAAGCTCCCGGGCACGTTGTCTGACTTGATGGGCTCGAGCAAACTCGGCGGCTGGGGTGTCAGCCTCAAATGGGTCCACTGAGGCGTCAGCAAGGCCTGGAACTATCATCTGATCATCTGACAGCAGCTCCAGGGGAACCCTAGGGTTGACCCCAAAGACGAGCTGGTATGGTGAAAAACCGCCACGGTGAAACCACTTATTCTTGTGAGCCACTACGTTGACGGCTAAGGTCTCCAGCTCTTTGCTTGATCGGACGATCTCCTGGCCACTTTGCACTTCTTCTTCAAGACGTTGCTTGACCCAGGCACCATGACGCTCGACCCGGCCATTCTGCCAAGGTGACGCACTGTCTGTCACAGCTTGCCGGATGCCCAGTTGCTCCAAGGACCGCTCGAAGTGACCCTTGAACTCTGAGCCTTGGTCGCACAAGAGAACCTCAGGGAGGCCGAAAGGAGAAATCCACAGCTTGCAGAAGAGCTCCCAGGCGTCCTTAGCATTGGGTGGCCCTCCGACGTAGTTGGGAAGCAGAGCAACTTGCTGTAGGTTGCTTCCTTGGTCCACTACGTTGAGAAAGGCATGCGTCTTGTTGAGGAAGGAGATGTAGAAAAAATCTATGCCCACGATCTTGTTGAAAGAGAACGTCCTGGGAAAAGTTGCCCGCTTTCTCTCGATGGGTTTCCTTTGCCTAGAGCAAATGTCGCACCGGAAGGAATTTTTAACGTATTCTCTGACTTCTTCTTTGGCACCAGCAGCTTTGAGTAAGGTCAACATTTGCTCCACAGGGATATGTCCCATGTTCACATGGAGTTTTGCCACAACTTCTCTTTGCCGGCCGGTGAGCTTGGTGTCTGGCGCCTTGGCCGGAGAGGGTGTCTGTGGGCTCTCAGAGCGTCTTTGGACTCTTCCATGTCAGGATCTTCATCGCCCCCAACCTCTTGCTCGTCGTCCAAGACATTCTCCATCCCATTGAGAAAGAGGATGAGCTTGTCTTCTTTCCTAGGTTGCCACTTGACGCCTCGGATGATTGATCTGAGGAGACCTTCCGGGTACGTCTTGGCCTTGTCAGGGAGGCCACTTTGGAGAGGTTGATGCTCATGATCGCCTGCGCATTGTAGAGCGGAGAGCTCATGGATGATGCCGATGTGGTTGGTGATGAAGGCAGTGGCCTTCCGAGAGAGCTTGCCGGGAACCACTGAGAGGCCAGCAGCACATTGGTCGAACTGGACCAGGCAAACCCCAGGCTGCCTAAGAAGCCAAGCAATGGCATGTGTGGCCCAGCTTGAAGCTGAGGCCGGTTGCTCAATCCAAAAGTATCGCCCTTGAGAGATCTGAAACTCAGCCACTTGCACACAAAATTGAAACATGGCCATGCCCTCTACTTTCAGTCGCCTAGCCTCCCCCGGATCCATCCTGTTCCAGTTGGAGTGCATTAGCACACTGAAAGGTTTGCACTCTGGAGACATCGTGACCAAATCAGGTTGCTGAGATCTAAGACAGTTCCAAAAGGCTGCCCTATCGCCAGCATCAAAGAAATCCCAGCCTTCTTTGATGTCAAAACTGGTTGGTGAACTCGACACCCGGTGCATTCAAATTGGAAAGCCTGGGCACCGAGAAGAGCTCGCATATCTTGAAGCTTCTCCCAAGTGACTTCTCACCCATGGCAGCGCTCGCGGTCGAGAGCCGAGGGAGGCCGGTGCCGGGGCCATTGCTAGTGACTAGACTCCAACTTCCCTTCAGAGCTTCCTTAAAAGGTTTTATGATTTCCCAGTTAGTCCTAAAACCCTCAACCCTGGATGGACCGTTGGTCTCTTCAGGTTCTTGCGTCCTGGCCGCGTTATTGTTGGGCTCTCCCGCCTCTTGGAGTCCTAACGTCTCCACCGTGTTATTGTGGCAAAATGCCTTTTGGAGTTCTGGCGTCTCCTCCGCGCTATTGTTCAGCTGTTTCTCAGTACACACAGGGGTGAAACCATCGGAAGACTGGAAAAACTGTTCAAGGTGCATGCATAAATTCCTCTTGGCCTTACGCGGTACTTGAAACTCTCTGTCGTCTTGATCTGCAGACAGTTGAAATGACCTGTACATGGATGGTGAATGCCACACGCACAGGCTTTCACTCTCTCCGGGTGGTTTCCAAAGAAAATAAGAGGAAGAGGCTACAAAAGAGGAGCATCTGTGCGCACTCCAAAACGGAAAAACAAACCAATGATCTAATTCCCCGGAAAACTCACTACACAGAGAGCTCACACCGTGGGCCGCCAAGGTAGCCCTCAAGGTCATTGGCGCTGCACTTGATCCCACTGATTGGGATTCAACATCTCCATATCGCTCGCCTCCGGCTCGTCGTTCTGATACAAATTGAAACTCTGGGGAATCACCGGCATCTGCTGTGTCTCCTGGGCAGGTGCGATGGCTGCTTGGTTCCCCATCATCACATTGGCCATCTGCTGTTGCAGCATCTGCTGGGACTGCACCAGCTGAGAGATTGTGGCTGTCAGGGTGTTGGAGATCTGGTCCGCCTGGGCCTTCATCAATTCCTGCATCTCCTGGCGAGTGACATACTCCGCCGGTTTCGAAGCCCTGGCAGCATACCCTGCCGTCTTCTTGATCTTGGCCATCGTCTCCGAGCTTGTAGTTGCAGCAGCTGCTGACACCTTGGATACTTTCCTGGAGACCGGTTTCGGGTTGTCCGGCCCGAATTGGTGAAAGAAAAGTTGCTTCTTGCACAGCAGGCACTTTTTCCAACGGCCATATTGATTGGAGCCCGAGGCAACCTGATCCTCGGGGTGTTGACACTCCGGTGGAATGGTCAAAGAAGCCATCTTGATGCTGAAAGGCCCCATGGTGAGCCTCAAAAGTTTGCTCACCAGAGTGAACCAGTGAGCTTGCATGGTCTCCCGGTGATTTTCGCTGCGGCTCCTGCCAAGCGCGTCCGGCTTCATGAAGGACCGCATGGCTAGCTGGGAGAATCGAACTGAAAAAAACACAGAATCAGGAACCTGAGCATGAAGCGGCTGTAGGGGAAACGGCTTTGAAATTTCTTCAAGCTGTGCTGAACTCCAATTTTGCTCAAAATGTCGCAAGATTCACTGAGAGACATGCTGGCTATTGGCTGTTTGGTGTGAACGTGAATGGTCCAAGTGTCAACGGCATCACAATGTCTGCACTCAACATGCTCTACCTCGGTGCCTTGCAATCTATTGATGTTGATATCTTGGCAAATGACATGACAGCTGTTCGACGTGACATGACCCATGGTAACCCAGTTAAAGCACAAAACCCCTGTCGTGTTGACCTGCTTGCCTTGCCTCATGTGGACTTCAAAATTCAGATCCTGAATCAACAAACGACTCGGTGTCTCGACCGCAGCCATGTATGCCCTTGCGCCATCGGAGTGAGACACCTGAAACGCCTCAGGAGTAAGCTGATACTCGGCCATCACTTGAGGAGGCACTGAAAAAGGCTTTGCTCCTAAGGTGACATCTAAAATCCTATGACCCGACTCAAGCCGTTTCATGGGAACTTCATGACCGAGAGCCTGGAATTGGATGACATCCCGGCCGGTGTCGATCACCGCCTTCGTATGTTCGAGCAGCCCAATCGACAACAGGTGTGGGACGTCTTCCTCGATCACCGTCAACTTGATGACCCCGGGGCAACCAGCCAAGAAGCAGGGGGCCAGTGCCTTGAAGAGGGTCTTGGCTGAGCCACCAATGCCCGAAGCTGGTCCGGGGTCTTCTTCAAGTCGGACTGTTTTCAAGCCCTTCTTCTCAAGTTCGACGCATAGCTTCTCGTAAGCCTTCAGGCCAATGAGGTCCTGGCTGGCTGCAGGATCCACTATGGCACACCCGGGAGGGATCTCCAAAAAATTGAAATAGGAGCTCCAACCAGGAAAATTGCTTGTCTTCTTTTCTCCCAAGCCAAGAAAGACGAATGCTGACGGAGTCGAAGAGGTAGACCTGCCACCTTGGAGCCTCTCGCTTTTGGGCTTGTAGGGCGCTGTGCAATCTTCACGCCAGTGGCCCTTCACGCCGCAGTTGCTGCAGCGGGTGATCGCCTTGAGCTGGGCAATTGGCATGCGGCCTTTGAGATTGGCCGGCTTCGAAGGTCTAGACGAGACATCGTCAAAATGCCTCCGATCCTTCTTGCGAGCATTTTTGAGGTTCTTGTTCTCGGCCCAAGTGCGTCGTCTCTTCTCAGACCAGTCAGCCAGGTAGTTCATGGCCTGCTCCTCATCAAGGTCGTCCTTCATCACGGAGCAGAGGAAGGCATTGATCTCGACATCGTCCAGGGGCTGCTCATCGTCAGTCTCATAGATGTCGTCTTCGGCAGAGACCTTGACATCGCCGGGCTCAGCCAAATAGGTTGACTGCTGCTTAGCACGGACAATCGGCTCATCGTCCACATCCAAAACTTGCAAAGCCCGAATGACCTTGGAGAACTCGATGGAGCCGCCGGTCAAGGAGCGAAGATTCTGCAGGTTCTGCCTACTCAAGCCAGCCTGCTCCTCCAACATAAAGGCCTTCAGGTCATTGGGCAACTCAATGAACTTAGAAGCCGCTGAGAACTGCGCCTCGCGGCGCAAAGAGTACTGTGCCAAGCTTTCCTCGCTTCTGCGAGGCCCCTCATAGAGTGCAGCCCTCACGCATCGCCGCTTTTCCGACTCTTCTTTCTCACCGGCTAAAACATCCAACACGGCCAAGATGTTCTGCAAGTAGGTCTCTGACTGCAAGTCTTGGTCAGAGATATGGTCAAGTTTGGACTGCAGCTCCCAATCGAAGCTCTTGAGGATCTTCTCGCTGCGTCGACGCAGCAACACGTCAGTGTTGCTGTCCCATCGGACCAAGGCTCTCTTCCAAAGCCTGTAGTTGCTCCAACCACCCCATGCAGGTGGATCGCTAAAGTCCCCCTTGGTCTGCTTGTCCCAGCCCGCAGATTGCCACTGCCAAGAGGCGTTGTGGCTTCTCCAGTGGGTCCAAGGATCTAAGGAACCAGTCTGGGTCCCGTTGGCAATGGCCGCAGCTCCCCAGGCATCGGAGTGGTGTGAGCCTCTCGCGCCCCAGCGCTGCTCATCCCACTCTCTCCACTCTTCTGCTGTCCACTGCCTCCATCCACTGGCTGACCCTGACACGCTGTCACCTCCTTCCGCTGCCGCTGAAGCTGGATGCCCATTTTCCGATTCGCCCTGCGTGAACTCCTCTACGGTGTCCATCGTGGAGCCTCACCAGGGCTCTCGCTACCACTGTCGCAGAAGCAAGAGATGCAGGACGCAACGATTTTCTTCCGATGGTGGTGTGACTGCAGGGCGAATCGGTGTTAGACCAAAATGGCTTCAGATGACAACTCAAACATCGCAATGCTTCTGGTAGATGTCTGACTGCCAATCAATGTTCACATGACAGCAAAACGTGGAGGTTTCTTCTGACAGATGTTTTTTTTGGCACTCCCGGTCCATCCCGGTCCTTGGGATCGCCCCAGTCACCGATGGCCCCAAGCCTCAAACCCCAGCAGATCTCTGGGAAAAAAATCTGCGAATCATGACCTCACTGCTACAGATCCTAAGGCCGCTGACTGCTGAGCCTCATCCCTTCAAGTCCGGCCTTGGCATCGACAATTGGTCGGTCAAGGGTCAATGGATTGTACTTGCAGAAGTTCTTATAGAATTCCCAACTTGGTAGGGCTTGACCATCAGGGGCCTATGGATGTCTATGGTTTCGTGCGCGACGTCCATCACACCCAGCGATCGGGAAAAATCGTGCAATGCTGAAGCTGCTAGCTACTCAGCGAAATCTGGGTGATAATTCCAGCAGAACTTGGCCCAAATGCCCAGCTTCAACCCAGCTTTCAGCAGCGCTTGCTGAAATAATTAATGCATAATGCCAGTTGCTGGAGGCCAAATATCTGAGCTCTCAGCTACCGATGCATCCGAAAAGGGAGCTGCTATTGGCTCCGGAAGAAAGCCTGTCGTCGCTTGGAATCTCAAGTGAAAAGCCCGACCCCTGACAGAAAGGTACAGCAGTGCCTGTGTTGTTCAGTGACCACTAAGCTTCAAATAGAAGTTTCCCACAATGGGCAAAATTGCGTTTTTCCACCTTTGACTTTAGTGCTGTGTGACTACGCGTGAGATCCCCACCAACCAAAAAGGATGGTGTTTGATGGAAACCCATGAAAATCCTATGAAAATTGATGATTTAGGGGTACCCCCATTTTAGGAATCTCCAAATAATGGCTTTCAACTACACCAGTCAGAAGCTATGGCTGGTTCCCATCCCCTCACCTCCCACAGGGCCCGCAGGGCCCACGGTGGCCACGGCACGCTCGGCAGCACGCTCCGCCTGAATCGTGATGGAATGACAATAAGACTGAGATATAGAGCTTGTCATCATATTTTAATAAAGAAATAGGGGTCAATAATGGGGTGTTAATAAGATTTGGGGGAATAAATGGATATAAAAGCAAGAATCAGGGAATAGCATGGGTGTGTTTGAAAATGGTGCATACCCAAATATGGTCACTTAAATTTGCAATATCAAACTGACCATCAAATTTTGGTGCATCTCGGAAGATTCCTTGAAAAAGACAGGTGGGAAGCCTCAAAGAACCAGGTTTTTTCAGTTTTCTCCAGCAATCCTGTGAAATCTGTGAAGTAAGGTGCAGCAAGGGTGTAAACACAATCAATCTAGCAAATTGCTGGCTTAGAGCATCCATTTCTATCCGTTCCTGGTCCCGGTCCAAGTCGTCCAGGGGCCAGGCCTCGTGCAGCCTTGACTGTAGCCGCGCCTGTGCGATGGACTCTGCTAGTTGCCGAGCCTGAGGGAGATCATTTGGGGCATCCAAGTCTGGGAGGGGAACACCACCAGAAGAGTGGAAAAACATGGGCATGATCACCTTGCTCAGCCTTGCTCGTCCAAGTTACATGATTTGCCAAGCAGTTTTGAATGGATAATTGCGGCTCAAAATTCTGATACTTGAAATTTGAAACCACCAAATTCATTGTAAGTTCAATGGGTCTTGAAGTGTGGGCCGATATTTATTTATATAATTGCATGCGGCAAGCCCACCGGCCATAGAGAGGTTAAGGGAGGTGGATGTGCACGCTAGGTGGAAGCCGGAGAGAGAAGCATAAGATAAGAGAAGAAGGAAGAAGACGAAGAAACGGAGAAGAAGAAAAGAAGAGGGAGAAGAAGAAGAGACGAAGACAGAGCCGTAGAGTACAAGCAGCTTGAGTGGAAAGTGCTTACTTTAACAACCTATTGACCGCATACCAAATGAGCTCCGGTCGATCAGTTTAGTACCGTGTAAGTCCTGCGGCTAGTACCGGTAGACGTTTGTGGACAGTTTCGTTAGCTACCAAAAAAAGCGTAGCAAGAGAACAAAGGAACAAGTACAAGCCAAGAACAGAAACAGGAACAACACCTTCCAATCGGACACGCCGGCAGGCCGGCGGATTTCACTTACATTACATAAATCTACATACATACATAATATCTTTACAATCTTATGTTCGCAATTTTGAATATCTCCCTCTCTCTCTCTCTCCATCACCATCCCGAGGGTTTAAGGCTGAAGGCGACAAGTGGCCTAGTGAAATGGAGCCACGACTGCACGCAGATTGGCAATTTTGGATATGCTGCGTGAATTTAGACGGAAAACATCCATCCATTCGTCCATCTACATACATATTTTTTGTGTATCATGTATTGCATATGTACATGGCATGTCATGCATTGCCAGTGGAGGCAGTTTGATTGTGAGGACTTTTTCATTGCCCAGATCAGCAATGCCCAGATGGCATCATCCATCTACAACACTTTCTGTATGGTGACTTTGGCAGGGATAATATTGACACCCTGCATCCAACCCAAACAGGCAACCATCCAAACATGCACCCCTCCGTGACATGTTCGTGTGAGATTCAACACGAAACCCTTCGAGTTTGAAGTTGAAAACCTTTGGGTCAACCAAGAAGAACGTGCTCCAGGAAAAGTTTTCGAAGGGCCGGAGCTGTCCCAAAACGACCGAATATGCTATGCTGAATTGGGACGATAAACACATACAGAAACTGACAGGAACTGTACAGTTCCAGGGGCCCATAGGGGGTTGGAAGATGAGTTTCCACTAAAACATGTGGGCTTATGTGCTGTTCTCAGGGTATGTCACACGAGATTCCTGGGGAATGGGGATGATACCCTGGGGCAAACTTAGATTTAGATGTGAACAAAAACATCATTTTAAGTGACTATTTATCTATGATCATCATTAAAGTATATTAAAATCATCTTAGGTGATACCCTCTGGTAAACTAACATAACTATGGAAAATCACAATTTTTCATGGGAAAACTCACTATAAATAGCATATCACGGCCTAATTAATCCATCAATGGGCCATGGCACATCTAAATCACCGGGAAGCACCTCCTCCTGCCCGGTGCTCCTCCTGGGGCCTGGCGAATCTGGCGAATGGCAAACACGTGGGTATTGGGCTGGTCTATATATATAAACTTGTGCATAAGGCATATATCAATGTGTATATATATATGTATATATATATATGTATATATATGTGTATATATATATGTGTGTGTGTAGTTAGAAATATTTGTATATATATATATGTATATAATAATTATATATATATGTTTCTTAACATATGCAATATGTAATGTGCATTTTTTAATTGGTATACCTGCATATATATATATATGTATATATATATGTATATATATATGTATGTATATATATATGTGCATGGATATCGGCATAGATATAGGTATCAAATAATATCAACTACCCGAATTTCAAGATCCTTCCTGCATCAATGTGTGCCGACATTCCCTCGTGCTGCCTCTGCCGGTGACAATGGGCCCTTCGGGAGCTTCAGCTACACGAGCCTGGCTAGGAAAATCTGCAGGAAGCCACGGCTTTTCCATATCTATCTATCTCTTCCATATCTATCTATCTATCTATCTTTCTATTTCTTTCTTTCTATCTATCTATCTTTCTTTCTTTCTTTCTTGACTACCTATAGCCTATATATCTTTCTTATCTTTCTTATCTATCTATCTTTCTTATCTTTCTTATCTATCTATCTATCTATCTTTCTTTCTTTCTTTCTTTTTTATCTTTCTATATGCAGTATATATATATATTAATAGAATCATTGATAATAATTGATAATTGATATCTATATCTATCGGTTTTCCCATTCAACATCGGGGGGTTCTGTAACTTGATGCATCGAGCCAAGGCCCATCGTTTCGGCCACAGTTCGACCCTGGTGCTGTCCAAAACGATGAGTTTCGGCGATACAATTGTGAGCCTGTGGTTTGTGATTTCAGCATTCATCCGGGGGCTAATTACATATAAAATATGTATATGTGCGTGTGTATATATATACAGTATATATTACTGAATTAATGTTTAACTATATAATACTATATATATATATAAATTTAGCATAATATAGCGCACTATCCCCGCCATTTCACGGCATCCATCAGTCCAACTGCCGCCCAACTGGGCGGGCCGAAAGCGCTGCAGGAGATATCAGGAGAGCCTCAGTTCGAAAGGCACAGTTGGGACGGCTACAGTCAGACCTGCCTGGAACGTTGGGACATTTTGGGGTAGAAACCTGGCCCTTGATATTTTGGCCATAAAATTTATCATAAAATCATACCTGGTTGGTGGTTTGAACCCCTCTGAAAAATGATGGAGTTCGTCAGTTGGGATGATGACATTCCCAATATATGGAAAAATAATCCAAATGTTCCAAACCACCAACCAGATACATTTCAAAAGTGGCCTGGAAGAGAATGAGAATTCCCCGGCTGAGCAGGAGAGTTTCCGCTTCAATGATCTTCCATTGGAACGACTCGTGGATCGGGGGTTGGCCGGATCGATACCGAATATGTCAAGGTTTAGGACCGGGACCCGGAAGAGAGCATCCACCAAACATAGGCAGTCCTCACAGCATCGATCAGATCGACCCCGGGGTGCTTTTATCAAAATTTTGGTCGTAACGAGGCGAAGAAGTGGAAAGGTGTTCCAAGTTCACAACATTGACCACCGGATACCACCGGTCGCGCTGAGCACATCTGAGCACATCTGCCCTTTCCTTGTAGGTGCAACATGGTGCAACCCAAAATGCTGAAGCCACGCAACCCCATCTCCTGTGCACTCAGCCGCCCGGAGAATTCCTGTGGCCATGTCTCGACAAGAAGCTTGGCATCTGCTGCCACCACAATGAAGCTGGCTAAAACTCATGGGTAGGATGCTGACATCGAAGAGAGTTTGGCGATGGAAACGTCACTTTTTTTTTTGCGAAGGCGACAAACGTCGCAAACTGGTCATGATGCTAATTGCCGGTAGTTTGCTGAAGAATCGAAACCCCTGCAATTTACAGTGATTGACCACGTTACACACGATCAAGCTTCACAAAGCTGAACATAAGACCGGACTATGCAAAGATAGTGAAAGATAGTGTGCGAACAATTGCGTAGAGAAACACTTGTGGGATCGATGTAACGTTACACTTGTCTCCTGGATAACTGCGTATGAAACACACTGTCCATTTCCTAATAATCTAATATGTCCAGAATCTACCCAAGGCATAGATAGACAGCCATGTGCGGCCATGTGTATCTAGACCGGATAGACTTGATCATATGCATCTTAGTTTTGTTGATCATCATTTCTTGGGTTATCCCAACTATTCCCCAACAGCTCAATCCAAATCATGTTTTATCTGGGAACCATGCCTTGTCAAACTGCATGAAGATCAGCCGTTGCAAATCCTGCCAAGGACGGCCAAACGTAATTGTCCAAGCCGTGCTCACTCCTGAAAAAGACTTGACACACACACACGCACAAATGCAATATATATATATATAGATATAAGGTTTTGGCTTAGGTGGATCATCAGCGATCTTTTCCCCTTAGCCTCACCTTAGCGGGCGTGCTACCCGCGGGCGATCGCCATATCGCCTTCTTGGAGCGGCGCTTGGTGTATCCACTGAACTGGCCTCGCCCTGGTGGTTCATCTTGTGCTCTGCTGGATTGGCACACCAGCAACACCACGCTCTGGCAGCCACGTCTTCTCCAACGGCCTTCAGGAGATTGACATCGAGCTCCAGACTGTGTATGGGATCGGCATTTTGGTTCTTCCTTTTCTCGGTTTTGATCTTTGGCTCTGAGGACTTTTCCTTTCGATTTGACCTTCACTACGACTTCGGATTCTATAAGGCGCTCGCAACGCCGACAGAGAGCTCGAGCGCGCCTGCGTTGGTATCTTCATCGCACTGGGGTGGTGCCTTTGAATTTTCAGCAACTGCGCAGGCTGGTTTCAACTCTTGCTCATCATCATTCGAAAGATCGCGGCTTTATCAAGGTCATCAAAGACGCCATGAAATCCTCCAATGTGCCGTGGAAATGTGTTCATTGTCGTCAGCTTCGCAAGCACAATGTGACGCACTGTCCCACATGCCAAGTTCCCTGGCAGACAGCCATGGATCGCAACTACGTACATGGAGTGAAGCAGGATCAGCAGAATTGGGGCGGCTATCCTTCTGGGAATTTCTATCATCAGGAGTATCAGTCGACCCGCCAGAGATCACAGAGCCCGAGACAGAGAGCTCAGACCCCTCGTGGCAGAAAGTCTCCACGCAACAAGGGAGGTGGCAAAGGCTACGACCAGTACAGCTTTGCCCCATTTCCGCAGTTCCCGCATGGACCCTTTCCACCACAGGCTCAACAGATGGCACCGCCTTTACCACCACCATCGACGCCGCCACCATGGATGCAAAGTCAGGTACCTATGGTCCATATGATGCCTGTACCCATGCAGCCTCAGCCCATGGCAAGCAATGCAGTGATGCCTCAGCAGATGCACATGCCTGCACCTACGTTGCAGCCCAGTGCGCAAGACCAGGCACAGAAGGAACTCATTGCCTACCTCCAGAAGCACTCTGCCGACCTTCCTCCCGACATCCAGCAGAGGGTGCACAATACTTGCAGAAAGGAAGGGAAAAGAGTCATCAAGGACCTCGAGACGGCAGCCAAAGCTCTGGGAGAAGCGCGCACGGTGTACGAAGAGGCACTTTTGGCGCGCTCACAGCATATCAACACCTGGAAGGTTTTCTTGGCAGAGGCGGTCAAAAATTGGTCAGACTATGGCAAGCTCTTCGCACAACACGAAGAAGCTCTACAAGCCAGGATTGCAATGGCCAAAGAACAGTTCCAAGATGCCAAGGATTGCATGGAGGCTTCCAACATCTCAGTTGGGAAAGTGGTGGTGCAAGAGTTGAGCGACGAAGAGGACCTGCCTGGGGATGCAGGAGACAGCGCAATGCAAATCACAGAAAGCATACAGTCGCTGTCAACCTCTCTTCAACAGCTCTCCAAAGCCACAGAATCGATTCAGATCGAAGAGAAGGCGGCCAAACGTCCTCGACTGGATGCATCCAAAAGCGAGGCAGAAGCCGCCTCGCATTTCAGCTAGGCTGGCTGTGGACGACCTTATGGTGCCACAGCCGACAGCCCGATGTCTCTGATCTTCCAGCGACACTTGCACTCAAATGGAGTCATTCCATCATGAGCAAAGACACCTTCCTCTGTGAATGTGGGGCCAGGGAGAAGGCACAGAAGCTTGCTTTGGACATCGCCTTGTCTTGTCCGCAGGTTCTACCCAGTGGGCATTTTGCTCTACCTCCTTCCAACAAGTTGAAGTCGTCTCTGCGTGTGGGCTTTGCAGAAAGTACAGACTTACACATTTGGTTCGAGGGCGATCAGCAGGTCCAGACTTTCAGCCTTCCTGAGGCCTTTTTCGATGGTAGATCCACCCCCTGGAGTGGTTGCCCAAAGGTTGCTGACATGAAGTTCAGCAGATTCCAAGTACGTCCCTGGCATGATGGCGGTCGTGCACGAAGTTGCATACCACACACAGCCATTGATGGTGGGGCCACTGCACTCAAGGATGCGATCTACCAGCACAAGATCACGGATCATCATTTTGACAACCCTGCTCGTCGACTTCAACAAGAAGAACCCGATGAACCTGATCCTGACATCATCCCGGACATACAAGATGCTCCTCCCTTTGCGCAGGACTCGCAATCCTTGGCAGACATGCATCAGGCATTCACAAACCCTGATGGTGAGGGCATCCTTCGACTCCGTACATGGTATCTCCATCATGCAGACCATTTGACCAACTTTCACTCGAGGACAGTTGAGTTGGATGAAGACTGGAGGCGCTGGGAGAATGACATCATTGGCGCATGGAGAACGCATCTTCAAGTTGGAGCCAGTGTTTTTCTTCATCTCGTCGCTCCAGATCCCTACAGAGGTTATCTTCGCAGAGAAACCCATGGAGATATCATCATCACACAGGGCAATGAGATTCAAAGGCGAGCTGGCCTCATCACTGTCCATTATCATGGAGGAGAGACAGAACCACACTCCTATGCAGTGGCCTGTTCACTGGAATTGGTTGTCAGTGGTTTCAGATTTGCAGAAGTCGCAGATGCGGGACAATGGTGCCATCTCCCACAAAATCGATGCACGCTGGCATATGGATGGCAACAAATACCGTTTGACCACCTGCCAAGACATCAGATGCACAGTGGAGACTCGGTCACCATTACCATCACACGCACAGCCATGGACAGCAGATCACGACATGCTCTACCTCCCCCACAAGAAGATCTCCATATTGATGAAGCACAACATGGACGTGAACATGACTATGAGGATGCAGGAAATTTTGACTACCCATCAGCTTCACCACAGCCCCCAGAAGATGCCTCAACATCATCATCAGACCAACCTGAAGAAGAAGTTGGAGTTCACATCTACAGACTGGAAAAACCAGATGCTCATTGCTACCTTCGATGGGATACCTATAGAAGAATTCTACTTGACATTGTGCGGTGCTTACGTTTGCCTCGAAATGACATCGTTGGCATGCATTTTGTTCACGCCCTTCCAGTTGGAGTACATCCCAGTGTTGGTCGCGCGGTGATTCTTCAATCGGCCAACGATTTACCTGCAGGATCTGGAGAACAACTTGTGCTCATTGACCAGGAAATCCACTTTCATGCTCTGCCATCGGGACTGTTAGTCCCACCGGCTTTTAGCCGGAAAGTGCTACGTGTTTTTCCTCCTCTACATCGATCGCAGATACTTCGACTTCTTGGCTTTCATGAATACTGCGAGCTTCATGCCGACAAATGCACCATCTTCGAGAACAACATCATTTGGCCGGCCCAGGATCGCACTGTTCATGCAATCACTCATGGTACATATCTCCGGGTCATCATCCCACCGCCAGAAGACCCGACGTTGGACACAGAAATCGCCATTGCGATCACAAGGGACCTCACCATCGAGGAGACAGCACCTTCACCCCCTGAGCGGCCAGCAATCTGTTCGACTGCTACCGCAAGATCAGGAGGAGAAGGAGACAGCAGTGCTTTTTTCCAACATTCCCTACAACTTCATGAGAAAGCTTGCCAGGCTACACTGCGCGCATTGGAGCCAACGAACTGGAAAGTTGCACCAGAGCATGTTGTTGGGCACCAACTTCCACTCTCCTCAGAGGGACCGGCATTACCACCTCCAAATCCGAGACCAACCAGCAGGTTCTACGGAAGAGACTTTGACACCTTGAACAACCTCTTCACTTCGAAAGCCTTGATCGAATGCGAAGAGGAGGGACCCATTGCCTACATCGACACATGGTACCTTCACCATGGTCGGCAACCTCAATGTGAAGAACCAAGAGCAGTAAAGATCTTTCAAGATCCTGCTACATGGATTTCAGACATTCTTCAACCTTGGAGTGATGAAATTGATCCCACCATAGACATTATGATCTACCTGGTGCGACCTTCACCGCCTTGCACACCTATGGAATGCATTCTGGCACACTTCATCATCGAACAAGCTCCACGACCTGACTGGACAGTTGCACTGATCACCAAGCATGAGGCGAGCTTCCGAGGAGTCACAGTCACCCACAAGGCTTTCTCCATATCCACCCTCATGAATGCAAGGGCGATTATCCGACTTGCAAACATATGCAGTCAGTGTGCGATGCCAGATTTTGCAGCGTTCGCAGAGGGCATATCCCCTTTGACCCCTGGGAATTTGACATCGTGGAGCCGGGCAGCAACCTCGTGATCTTCCTTAACGCGCATGGACCTTTTGGACCATTTCTGAATGACGAGGAGGACATCAGCCATTTCATGCAAAATCCGACGGCTCCATCGCCGTCTTTGACTGCCCCAGAAGCTTTTCAGTTCAATCCCAATGCTCCACATTTCTGTCCTGGTCAGCCTCTGGTGCGCTCACTTCCTGAAGGCCTCCAAGACCTATATGACCATTGGGCCAGATCTGCCTTCAGTTGGGAGGGTGAAGAAGCTTCGGCATCAGTGACCACATGGTTCACAGACCAACACCATCAGCACCTCCATAATTGCTGGGTGCCCCGACAAATCCAACTCACTGGAGATTTCAACTCATGGGAAGCCACCCTTCACAGGACATGGCATGACCTTCGGCTCCCGGGAGCACCAGTACTGATTCATGTGGTTCAGCCTACACCTCCTAATATGGGCCCCGAAACCGCGGCACATGTCCTCTTGATTCAGAACCCGCGAGACACCTTGTCCTCCAGCGTGGTTACTTTCTTCAATCTGGAGAGGTACACGGAAGGGCCAACACGACAGTTTGCCATCACCACGAATGAGGGCATCCTTTTGGAACACATCATTTACGGCTTGGGCCTTGAAGGAAGATGTCTCCTACCGGGGGCGCCCTCTATATGCACCGCAACCAGTGGTTCGCAACCGCTCCACCTCGGGCGTCCTTATTTGGGAGGGGATGGCACTGGCATCACACTTTGGATGAATCGAAGACCTGCTCGCCAAGAGCCAGCTTCAGGAAATATTGCCACCAACCTGCTCCAAATCAGCGCCCGAAGACAGGAGAGGGGCGAAAGGCGCCTAACACATGGGCAGGTGGCTCACACCCATGGGCCTTTCGACCCCGCCACTTCTTTCAGTACAACCCCACTCAAGGTTGTTAATGCGGGAGATCATACCTCAATTCTTCCATCCTTCATCGAAGTCTTGGGGCCCCTCAGCGAAGAAACAGTGCAGCTCTCCCTGGCCAATTTTGGTGTACGAGGTACAGTGATCATTCTTTCCGATGACCACACCGTCCTTTGGTGGCCTGCAGACACAGATGCTGACGAAATTCTTAGACACTGTGTTTTTGTTTCAAAAAACCCACCTTGTGAATGCATCCTGCACACACTGACGGCGCAAGAAGAGGTGGACGAGTTGAGCTTGATGCGTACGCTCTATCAACTGGGCTTTGAAAAAGCGGTCATCCTGGACAGGGTCAGACACACTTCTGGCATCCTTGAGATCATCTTCAAAGAATCCACAGGAGAGATGCCCTCACCAGAGCAGCGACACAAGACCTTGCCGCCGTGGCCACCTCCACAGGAACGTACACAGCGGAAGCGAATGTATCAAGATGTACCTGGCCAACATGCACCAGCCTGCTGCCTCAACTGCGGGGTGACTTCAGAGGATCTCCTCAACTTTTTCCAATCTTCCAAAAACACTCTTTGCACCTCATTTGAAGGCATTGAACTACCGGATTTCTGTCATGAACGACTGCGTGAACTTGCAGATCACACCCATTTCGACCGGCTGATCATTTACACTGACGGCTCCTCACAATCGCGACTCAAGCATATCTCACCACTCCTCAATGAGGAAATTGGGATACCAGACTCATGGTGCTTTCTGGTCTTGGGAGAGACATACCTACCTGATGGAGGACATGAACTCACCCTTATTGGATGGTCAGCCCATCAAGTGCGCTGTGACCCCAACCACGACTGGCACATTGGCGCAGACAGGACAGGCTCAGCCATCGCCGAGCGTGAAGCAATCTGTTGGGCGCTCCTATGGAGAATTGGCCAAAACTCCAACATCCCCACAGTGCTGAGGAGTGACTCCATGCTTGGGCTTCAGCAAGCCAAGGGCGATGTTGGCAGCCTCGTGTGCGACATCTCATTCCAGATGCTTCGTGGATGCGCTCAAATCCTTGAAGCTGCCTTAGGCCCTGAAGGCATTCTTTTTGATCATGTACCTGGCCACGCAGGGGATCCTTTCAATGAAATCTGTGACCAGATCGCGAAACAAGAAGGGCAGAAGGGATTTTTCCTCCCTAGACCACAACTTCACCTTGCGACATGGCGCAGACTCATTCCATATCTTTGGATCCTCTTCGGCAAGACCAATGGAGCTCCCACCTTCCAAGGGACAGGTTTCAATGTGCAACCTCCTGACTTGCCACCGGCCACAGCTCCTGACAGAAGAATGGCTCCAAGATCTACCAGGAAACTGCTCAACTTTGCCATCTCCATTGCCACAGGTAATGTGCAATCGCTGGGACTTGGCTCACAGGGCTATTCTGGCAAGCTCCAATATCTTCGCACACAGTTTGCAGATCTCAAACTTAACTTCATTGGACTGCAGGAAACGCGCTCACCCGAAGGCATGGCCAACAAATATGGCATTCTGCGACTTTCGTCAGGGAGCGACAAAGGCCAAGCTGGAGTTGAGTTGCGGTGCAACCTGCAGCAGCCCATTGCAACGGCCACCCAGAAACAGATTTTCCTGCAGCGACAGCACTTTCTTGTTGTGCACAGGGATCCACGCCGCCTGCTGGTGCGGATTCAACATCCTATCTGGGAAGCTTGGATCCTCGTAGCGTACGCCCCGCACAGTGGCTACAGCGACCATTGCAGAGCTCTGTGGTGGAGTGAGACCCAAGCTGTTATCCAGGAGCATCACACAGAGAACTCACCACTTATAGTTTGCATCGATGCCAATGCTGGTCCAGGAGGGCCTGATGGGGAACACTTCTTCCAAGATGGGTTTCGCACATCCTCCAGCACCAAGTTTTTGCAGGCGTTTGTGAGCGACTTCCATCTTTGCGCACCCATCACCAGCTCCATACATGAAGGATCTACATGCACATGGACTTCACCTCTGAACGAGGAATTTACCATTGACTATGTGCTGATCCCACAGTCATGGATGCTACATTGCAGCCTCTCCAAGATTCTTGAAGAATTTGACCTGGGCAACCAGCAACAAGACCACTCAGTTTATGCGCTTGAGCTGAAATGGCAAGAACAGAGAACCATCTCTACATCAACTTCAAGATCCAGTGACAACTTCGACCGGACCAAGGTGAGGCAACAAATGCCTTCACACTTTGAGGACTTCGTCATCCATCCATGGGAGACAAATGTCGAAGATCACCTTCAACATATCAACGATAAGCTGCACAGGATGTTACAGCGACATTGCCATCGCCCTCAAAGAGGACCCGAACGACCTTATGTCGATGAGCAGAGCTGGAAGTTGCGCAAGGCCAAACTTCACCACAGAAGTGAACTGAAGCACATTCGCCATCTTCTCCGTAGAGAATCTCTCGCCAGAGTCCTGGCGGCCTGGAAGAACAAGCAGGCATGGGACGGCAGCGCATCCTTCAACTTTGGCAGCACCCTGCTCTCCGGAGTTCTCAAACATGGTCTTGGTTTTCGAGTCAAAGCTCGAGCCCTGCGCGAACACATCAGGTCCAACAAGAAAACTGCACTCCATCACATTGTCAAGGAGTTCAACCATACTACAGCGGCATCGGAGATACAGCAACGCCTGAAACCGTTCATGGGACCATCCAACAAGTCAAGGCAGGGAATGGCTCCACTACCATTGATCAAAGATGCGGATGGCATCCCCTGCACATCTCAGCAGGCGGCCTTGGACAGATGGATCAGCTTTTTTAGCGAAATGGAAGGAGGCGAGAGGGTGGACGCCAAAACGCAGCGAGACCAATGGAGAGCAAACCTGGCGCACTTGCGATGCACCAACTTTGACATCGAGATCTCTGAAATACCCTCGCTGGTAGAGCTCGAGCAAGCATGTCGACAAGTTGCTGCAGGCAAAGCATCAGGTATGGATCGAATTCCATCTGAACTCCTGCGTTACCGCCCAAAATCCATGGCTGGCGCTCTTTATTCCTTGATGCTGAAGGTTTACCTCCATGGTCAGGAGCCATTAGCCCACAAGGGAGGGTTTCTGGTCCCTATCTGGAAGGGGAAGCTCAACAAAGATGTTTGTGGCGCATTCAGGTCCATCCTGATTTCATCAATGGTGGGAAAGACCCTACACAAGGCCATGCGCACGAAGCAGGCCGATTTGTACCACAGCTACCTTCATGCCCAACAACTTGGAGGCCGTAAAGGGGTATCTGTATCTCTTGGAGGTCATCTTATCAGAGCCTTTCTACGAGTCTTCAAGGAGCGCAACCAGCCCACCGCAGTTTTGTTCATTGACTTACAGGAAGCATTCTATAGGGTCATTCGACCCCTTGCAATCTCCGGCCATTGGGATGATGACCACATAGCCGCCATTGCAGCACGTTTGCATCTTGATCACAACATCATGCATGACCTCAAAGAACACCTCCTTGAGGCGAGTGCAGTGGACCTCGCGGGCATGCAGGGAGCAGCCAAAAGAGCCATCAAGGCATTGCATACTGACACGTTTTTTGCCCTTCCAGGACAACATGATGTGGTACGCACGAGCCATGGCTCCAGGCCAGGCGATTCTTTCGCCGATGTGGTCTTCGGTTACCTCATGGCTCGGGTGCTGAAGTCCTTTGAGGCCCAGCTGGCGACCAAGAACATCCTCTCCTCCTTCCCCGATGATCCGCAGCCTGACTTTCACGAGAAGGGCTTTCCAGATCAGACGGCCCAGGAGATCCAGATGGTTGGCCCATGTTGGATGGATGATTTGGCAATTCCACTCACTGCCACCACCAATGATGAGCTTCTCACCAATCTGGGGGTCGCCACGAGCACCATCCTGGACCTTTTCCAATCGCATGCAATGACACCCAATTTGCAAAAAGGCAAGACTGAAATCCTCTTCAAACCCAGAGGCAGAGGATCGAGATCATGCCAGCGACAGATTTTTGGACCGAATGCTCCAGGTTTCTTCACGGCGATTGGAGAGTATGGCGCCTACAAGGTGAATATTGTGACGCAGTACCTCCACCTGGGCGGAACAACGCATTTCTCTGGAGACCTGCGCAAAGAAATCAAAAGGAGAATTGCAATCTCCAACCAGAGCTTCAACAAACATCGAAAGCTGATTTACCAGAACACAGATCTTGCTCCTGTACGCCGCATTGAGATCTTCAACAGCCTCATCCTTAGCAGACTTCTCTTTGGAGCAGAGATGTGGTTCATCCAGGATCAGAAAACGAAGGACTACCTGCACAGCGCCATCATGCGACTTTTTACAAGCGCTTACTCAGATGCCCTTCGGACTCCCACGTTTCTGATGAAGAAGTTCTGCATCGAACTGAGCTTCCTGCTCCTTCCACTCTGTTGCGACTGAAGAGATTGAGCTATCTCAGTTCGCTTATTGCGGTGGGGCAGTCAGCACATTGGGGACTCCTCAACCAAGACAAGGCTTGGATGAATCTCCTGCGTGACGATTTACAATGGGTATGGGATCAACTGAGCCATTCCTGCAACCTTGGGAACCCATTTGAACATACAGACCGATGGCTTGAAGTGATTCGTCACCACAGGAGCTACTGGCGAAGACTCCTTAGACGAGCGAAGCAACATTCCATTCTGGTAGCCTCTCGCCACTTTGTTTGTGTTGCCGCTCACCTCAGAGTTCAACGTCTTTTGTCCTGCCACTCATGCTGGAAATTGCAGCCTTCACAACACGACATCATCGAGCTCAACTCAGACAGGGTTTTCGGTTGCATGTGCTGTGAATTAAGCTGCAGATCTCTTGCTGGAGAAGGAGCGCACATGAACAGGAAACACGGACAGTTCCATCCTGTTCGCACCTTGATTGACGGGACACAGTGTGGCCACTGCCTCAAGGAGTTCTTCACGCATGGTAAGTTGCAAGCTCATTTGATCCGTTCTGATGTGTGCAGACATCAACTGGTGGGAAGGAAAATACATCGCAACCCACTACCAGGCCTTGGCTCTAATTCAAGTTGCTTCACAACATGAAGTTTGGGATGGACGTCTACCCGTGCTACAGGCAGAAGGGCCGCGCCTGGAGCCTGTCGCTCCCAGGGACTTTGATGAAGAACACCCTCAACTTTCAGAGGATCTTGCGCTTCTCATTGTGGACGTGACGGATGAGACCATCCAGAATTTTGAAGACAAGGTCAGATCAGCAATCCAGAACTACGCAATTTCTTGGACTCTCTGCCGAAAGACATTGACCCACGTGCTTGCCTTGCTGGAAGAGGCGGAATTGGAGCAGCCCAAGGAGACAGCGCATCGCATGAAGACTTGTTTGACATCTCTTTGTTCACCTTGCGCTTGGCCCTTTCTGCAGCAGCGTCGCCCTCAGACTCAAGGGTCTCTGGAGCTGGCACAGATTGAGAAGGACTTTGACAACGCGCTCATCGATCCTCCATCTCAGGAGATTCCGCGTCCTCGCACAAAGGAACGCATTTTTCTCCACGTATTTTCAGGACGACGTAGGGAAGGAGACTTGCAGTTTTTCATGGAGAAGCTATATGCTCAAATCTGCCCCGACAGCACCGCCCTTTGTGTAGTGTCCGTCGACCTGATCATCGACCAGCAGTGGGGCAATGTCAGACAGGAATCCACCCAAACCTTTTGGTTAGAGGGGGTGAGAGCTGGATGGGTATGCGGTGCCTTGTGTGGGCCCCCATGTGAGACGTGGTCACAGGCGCGCTACGCAGACGTCGCAGCGGGTCATCGACCTTCACTCCGACCTGGCCCTCGTCCACTCCGCGATGCCTTGGAGCTTTGGGGATTTAGTTCTCTCAGCCTTCGTGAGGCGCTTCAGGTGGCAACAGGCAACGAACTCCTCCTCTTTTCCTTGGAGCTCCTCTTTTCCCTGGCTTGCGTGCATGGCTTCGGAGTATTGGAACATCCTCAGGAACCTGAGGAGGAGACAAGGCCCTCCATATGGAGATTGGCGATGACTCGATTGCTGATGCGATTTCATGGCGTGGAGCTCATCGATCTCGCACAAGGACTTCTGGGTGCGTGGTCTCCGAAGCCGACGCGCTTGCTGACGCTGAATTTGCCCACGCTTCGGGCGCAGCTTCGGGAGCACCAGATCTCCAAAGAGCTACCAAAGCGTAGCGCAATAGGGAAAGGGGTTGACGGATCCTGGAAGACGTCACCCTTGAAAGAGTACCCCCCTGCAATGAACAGGGCACTCGCTTTTTCCTTTTGCCAGTGGCTCCGTGACCATCCATCCTGTGCAGACATGGACATGGATCCAGAATTCTTCGAGCGGTGCTGTTCGATGATCTCTCGAACTTTTGGCACCACAATCGGCCCTGATTATGGCAAATGATCCACTCAGGGGAATTCAAACAGCTCGCAGCGACGTCAGTCACAAAGAGCCGTGGAAAAAAATATAGATATATGCATTGTATGTATACATATCACGATACTAGCTTCCCTCTCTCTGTCAAAAAAATGAGCAGGCTTACCCTCCCCGAATCAACATAGACCCTTCTGAATAGGGCTTGGAAGACTAGTTTCCACCAAAAATCAATAAAGATATGCTATTTACAGTATATAGAGATATATAGAGTCTATGTAATTTAGAGATATTTAGAGTATATAGAGGATGGTCAGCGAGGCTAGGGGAGGGATTGTCACACACATCCCTATCTGATCCCATCTGATCCAGCGGCCTTGGTGGGCGCTGGTAAGCCTCGCCGTTGGAACACCGCATCCACCAAATCGCTGACCTCCCGTCGGGCGCGGCGTCGAATGGGGTGTTGTACGACCATTCGAAGCCGCAGTGAAATGGGATTCCGTTGGTCCCCATTTTTTGGAAAAATTATCAAATCTCAAAATTCTTATGGCTATGCATATATATATAATGTATATATATATGGTGGCTGGTCAAAAAATATTTTCCCAGAAGTGTGCAAGAGTCGTAAATAGCTGGGGGCTGGCTACATAACTTTACTTCTGCGTCATGTATCTTGCTATGTCTTCTAAATCACAGGGAATCAAGGGGAGGAGAATCATTTGTTGCATTTCGTTGCGAACGTCGCTAGCGCGCGGCACTTTCAACCACTCTCAGATGAGGAGGATGGTGTGCTACTGCCTGATTCTTGTGCCATGTCCTGCAAATATCGCCTTTGGTGAGTGCCTCTGGGACGCTTTACTTGTAAAGCTCTTTGGATCTCTTTGGTACCTCCCTAACCTATTCGAGCCCTACTCTTTGGTACTTCCCCAAATCTTTGGTACTTCCATTTGACGTCAACCCCGCTCATGTTTCGATCCTAGAGAAGTGCCACAACAAATGTTTGACTTCTGGGCCAGGGCTGGTATTGCCACATGTTCGCTAGCGCGGATCTAGCGCCAGGCTAGCACGGATGACCGCACTAATTTTGGAAATATTTTTGACAAGCACTGGGGTTATCATAAAAATGCAGTGACTGAACTTTGCGAAACTCAACACGTCCATACCAATGCAAAGCATTCCGGATACTGGTGGCAAACAACAAACTGTCACATCATATCAATACCATGCCAATTCCACACAATACTAATACGATCTAAACTTCCTTCCAATGCCAAGCCAAATGTACAAGTGAACTACTTCCTGGGAATGTTAAAACCAAAAAAAAATGCTAGTGCACTGCTAACGCGAACCTAGCGCCAAGCTGCAGAAATGCCATGTTTAGTTGGGGGCCCGCTACACAATGAAGACTAAAAACCTATTGTCTAGAATTAATTTCGCAACTTGATTTACTTTTCCATACTAGGGATTTTTGACTGGATCCCACACACACAGATATATATATATATATAAAAATATTAATTAGATCCTAATAATATAATATAATTAATAGAATATATATATATATATATCCCATCATATATTATATAAATGAATCATAATGCTATATATATATATAACATATCCCAACATATCCAAAGATCTCCCAGTTGTGGCTGTCATAATCCCTGTCGTAGCTGGCCTCTTCAGCCTCCCAACTCAGAGAGCCTCGGCGCTCAGAATCGCAGAGCCTCCCACCGCGGGAAGCGGCCAGCGAAGCGGATGGCAATGGGAATCCCCTAAGAATGGAGGTTTTAACATGTGTGAAATGGGATTAAATGGATTTAAATTGGGAAAACCATCTTATAGATCTTATTGAAATAGCCAGAACTGGATTTGCTAACATAGCAATACAAACACACAGAAAGAAAAAAAGCGATATGAAGCGATGTGTTTTTCGTTTTACTGGTGCATCTCAGAGGGTGGATGGCTACTCAGTAAGCAGCTACTCAGCTACTCCAACCAAAAAGTGATAAACGAACCCAGATGTAAGCCGTTTGCTCAATGACTTCAGTTGACAAACACCAACAAAAACGAATCCTTACTGGAAAAAACCGGTTGTTTTGGCCAAAGTTCGGTCAAACATTGGTAGTTGAGGCTGGCTCAGTGTGAACAGCCCACTCGGCCGCACCTGAAACATTGCAGACTCACCCGAGCCAGTTCGCCACCTTGGATGGGTCGCCTTTTTTTCGGTATCCAAAAATGATGGAACCACAATGGAACCAAAATGGTGACCTATGGTGACCTACTGCCGCAGGTTGCCGCCGCATTTGCCCATGCAATCCCAACCCTGGAATATCCCTGGGAATCAGAGATTCGTGGTGCTCCTTCATCATTTCAAATGATCTCTATATTGGAGTTTTCGGGAGGGCGACTCTCACAGGAAGGCCTAGAAGATCAGAAGGCACATCACTGATGGTCCCCACTCTGTATCGCAGCGGCCGCCGACCTGCTCAAGGTCGTCATGATCAGAAACATAAGTCGTTTCTGCATCATCAACCCTCCCAAACAAGAGATATCACACAAGTCTAGACATGTGTTGAAACAACTTACCCTCTGGTAATTTAACATAGCTATAGAAAATCACCATTTTCAATGGGAAAATCAACTATAAATCATTATAAATCACCATTCCATAGCTATGTTATATAATGTTATATAGTTTACCAGTGGGTAATCACTGAACCCATTGTTGACCCTTGTGGCAAATTCAATCATCAACCATCCCCAATTTCACCAGAAATGGCCGTTCTAAACATCTCCACATATCTCAACCCTGCAAGAGTGAAGGTTGAATAAGAATTGATGCAACAAATAACATGAGAAAACACAACACGGTTTAGATATTTGTTCAACTTTGGTTTCAAAACCAACATTGTAAAACACCAAGGAACAACATCCAAAAAACGCTCCAAAGCTGCCATTGAACGCCGGGCTCTCGGGCCGAAGTTGCGCTGGGGAACTGGCCTGGGCGTGTCATCAAACAGGGCATGGATTACCAAGAATGCCCAACTCTTATTGATGCTTTCTCTAAGGTATAAACCCATAGAATGAGGTTGAATTCACTCTAATTCACCCAAAAAAACGGAAAAACAGTCACTGAACGACGTGTCTCGGGATGGGAAAGGGGCCACAAACCTGGATGGTTAAGCATATTTAAGCATGAAATTGTGGATTCTGCCGAACCTCAACGTGTGGAATCCACCCTGCAAGACAGAACAAGAAACAGTGATTTTGCTTCTTCTCCTGATTCTAACAATGATGACCATGAAGACGTTCAAAACAGAAACACCCGAAATATGCGAAACAAAAAAAAACAGTTGAACTTGATAGCATTGCCATGAACATCCATAAGTTCCAAATTCACTCCAGCAAAAGGAGTGCCCCATGGCGACCATATCAATGGAATGATTCTTAATCCAATAACAATGACGACAATCGCCAAGAACGATGATAAAAACGATCAAAAAAACCTAATGACCTAATAATGATTCATCATACTGCGCTGCTACTACTAACAGCAATCATATCCTATGCAAACATCCATGCGACGCGACGCAGCTCGGGTCGGAGTTTTCGGCCGCCCCACCAGGACCAGTGGCGCCAGGGGGGTGAAGAAGTCCTGGAAGGAGATGACGACCTCGCTGCGGCTGTGGGAGGTATACCATGACCATCTGCCAACTTTCCATCTACAAAATGGTTACCCTCTGGTTATGTCAAAATAGCCATTGAAAATGGCCATTTATAGTGGATTTACCCATAAAAAATTGTGATTTTCCATAGCTATGTTAGTTTACCAGAGGGTATTCAATTGGGGACTGCTCTTTTTGGTGGAAAAAACAGAGCGATGCCAAAATTCTTAAATACGTGTGGGTCATGTTTGGCAAACATCAATATAAATAGTGAACGGTTTGCGACGGCTCTGTAAAGACACAAAATGACCAAAATGGGTGGGCCGCCAGGATTTTACACTCTTCCTCATGCCCATACATTAATCTCCGCTTGCCCTTTTTCTCTTGTTTCCAGATCAAGAGGCTTCAGAGGTCTCAAGTCTCAAGTGATGTGGGAGGAGTGCACATCCCAGTCTTTTTCTGTTTGAAACCTAGCATTAGAAGAAACTTAGGCAGGCAAAGGTTGAAAAAATCAAAATATTTATTTTGTCATTTTTTTGTCGTTTTTTTTGTCATTTTTTTTGTCATTTCAGTTTTGTCTGTCATGTTTTTTGTCATTTGTTTGTCGTTTTTTTGTCATTTCAGTTTTGTCTGTCATTTTTTTTGTCATTTTTTTGTCGTTTTTTTTGTCATTTCAGTTTTGTCCGTCATTTTGTTTGTCATTTTTTTGTCGTTTTTTTTGTCATTTCAGTTTCGTCTGTCATTTTTTTTGTCATTTTTTTGTCGTTTTTTTTGTCATTTCAGTTTCGTCTGTCATTTTTTTTGTCATTTTTTTGTCGTTTTTTTTGTCATTTCAGTTTTGTCTGTCATTTTTCTGTCATTTTTCGAAGAATTTTTCAATCGTTTTCACTATTTTTGAGAAAATTGCACCAAAACGACAAAAAAATGACAAATTTTCCACAAAATGACAAAAAAATGACAAATTTTCAACAAAATGACAAAAAAATGACAAAAAAAAATGCACTTTTGCAGGTGGCAAAAATTGCATTTTTCTCGAAGCATTGTCATTTTTTTGTCATTTTTCTGTCATGTTTTTATCATTTTGGTGCAATTTTCTTAAAAATAGTGAAAAAGATCGAATTTTTTTTCGAAAAATGACAGAAAAATGACAAAAAAATGACAATGTTTCGAGAAAAATGCAATTTTTGCCACCTGCAAAAGTGCAATTTTTTTGTCATTTTTTTGTCATTTTGTGGAAAATTTGTCATTTGTTTGTCGTTTTGGTGCAATTTTCTCAAAAATAGTGAAAACGATCGAAAAAATCTTCGAAAAATGACAGAAAAATGACAAAAAAATGACAATGTTTCGAGAAAAATGCAATTTTTGCCACCTGCAAAAGTGCAATTTTTTTTGTCATTTTTTTGTCATTTTGTTGAAAATTTGTCATTTTTTTGTCGTTTTGATGCAATTTTCTCAAAAATAGTGAAAACGATTGAAAAATTCTTCGAAAAATGACAGAAAAATGACAGACAAAACTGAAATGACAAAAAAAACGACAAAAAAATGACAAAAAAAATGACAGACGAAACTGAAATGACAAAAAAACGACAAAAAAATGACAAACAAAATGACAGACAAAACTGAAATGACAAAAAAAACGACAAAAAATGACATACAAAATGACAGACACAACTGAAATGACAAAAAAAATGACAAAAAAAACGACAAAAAAATGACAAAATAAATATTTGAACCATCTCCAGGGTATGGCTGCGAGTTTCTTCTAAACCTAGCAGCATCCGCTCCAAACCAACACTGTATGGTCCGCACTGCAGCCTCTCCCATACCACATCTTGAAGTTGGTTCTAACTAATGTGAGTAAAGCAATAGGACCCACCCGTGTGACCCTGACCCATCATCTCCAATTTTGCAATGTTTAATAATTTATATATATATATATGTGTGTGTGTGTGTGTGCGTGTGTGTACAGTATTATTTTCAGTAAAAACATGTATAAACATAGTTTAACCGTCAATCCATATGCGTGGTTTATGGCTGACCCAGCTACCCGCACTGAGTTGCCGGACACCCGAAAGATATGGCATGGAATTGCCTTCCTTGGCTGGAAATGGGACCAATTAACGTCCCAAACGTTCCTTTGATTTCTATGTTTTTTGGGGTTCTAAACATGTGTTAATCCATATGCTTGATATTCAAATGATATTCAAATGTGTTGATATTGGTGCAAATGATACAGCACCACTTTTTTCGGAGTGCGATTGTCCAATCTTTGATCCTTACCGCTGTTATTCCTGCCGGTGCTCGGTCCATGTGTTTGGTACCCAAGTTGCCAAGGAAACACTCACAACCAAGCGGCCAAGGGCATTCCTGCATGGTACAAGACCTGGGCCCAGCGCCCCCAGCACGAGGACATGCCGTTGTGGGGAGTAACCAAAGGTCTGATTCCTAGGGCTGAAAAACCGTCCACCAACTGCCAGTCCCTTCCCCTCAAATACCCCCGAAGCCAGAACCCTGGCTCAGTATTGGATCTATTGGATCCATTGGATCTATTTATTTTGGGGTCCCATATTACCCTCTGGTAAACTAACATAGCTATTGAAAATGACCATTGAAATAGTGGATTTTCCCATTAAAAATTGTGATTTTCCATAGTTATGTTAGTTTACCAGAGGGTAGGGCTGTTTGATCTTCGGAGCCAGGGACTACTGAGGCGCTACCAATGAGATTTTGAGGCCACTGCCCATTGCTCTGCTTCGCTGATGCGGGCCATGTAGGCCTGCCCCCGGTCTCCCAGGCGATCATGTGTTTGCTTCAAGATCTTTGAGTGCTTCATCGCTTCCTTGAAAAAAAAAAAACATCATGTTTTCGACATATGTCTAACAGATTGTCTAACTACCCTCTGGTAAACTAACATAGCTATTGAAAATAGCCAATTGTAGATGGTTTACCCATTAAAAATTGTGATTTTCCATAGTTTGTTGTATGTTTACCAAAGGGTATACGCCATGTAGCCATGTGTCCAAACAGCTTGCTTCATCTGTTGACCCAAGGTATCCCCAATCCTCTTCGCTGGAGGCTTTGGGCGCAAGCGCCTGCACCCTGGCAGCACATTGTGCAGAATTGGATAGTATAAAACGTCGTAAAACTGCGTAAAATACCGAAAAACATTGTGAAATGGCACCAAACACCAAAACCAAATCACACAACAACAGAACAATAGATATGCAATAGAATGCTACAGTACTAGTAGAAACACTGAAACATCTTACCAAAACATATCTCAACATGTCAACACGTCATGGAACTAGCGACACGGCCCCTTTTTGCCTCGCGAGCAACTCTTCGTTCTCCTTCATCAGCGCCTTCCAGCTGAGGGATGACCAGTGCTGCCATTGTGGCAAACTTACCATTGAATACAGTTTAATCATGTTACCCTCTGGTAAACTAACATAGCTATTGAAAATGATCATTTATAGTGAGTTTTCCCATTAACAATGGTGATTTTCCATAGCTATGTTAGTTTACCAGAGGGTAATCATGTTATACACTATGGCACATTCTTAATACTACCCGGATGTAACATGTGATTCTTGTTGCATCTTTTTGCTGGTAAGCATTTAAGATATTTAGCCTCTGGTTATTCAACATAGCCATGGTTTTTCGATGGCCCATAGAAATAGATGGTTTACCTAGCTATCAAATGGTAGATCTTTCCATGGCTATGTTAGTTTACCAGAGGGTATAACTATGGAAAATCACCATTTATAGTGAATTTTCCCATGAAAAATGGTGATAACTGTTAGTCATAGCCAGCTGGATCGCCTCATTGGCAGCGAAGAGTCTCGAGGCATCCGCCTGAGCGAACCGAGGTTTCGTCAGGGGTAAGGTCTAGAAATTTTGAAAGCTCAATGGAAGCGGAAGAGGATAGTGATGTATTTGACCTTACATATTTTTGTTCAAATAATTCGCCTCTAATTGAACAGTTTGCGGAAATCACATGTTCTAAAAAATAGATCGTCGAGCTATTGCTGGTCCCTGGCTTCCATAGCTATCTGAAATTATCGGAGGATATATTTAAAGAAACAAAATGGGGATTTATAGTCATAAATGGTGGTACCCTGTGAGGGCCCCAGTTTTACAGTCATCAATGGCGGTACCCCAAGAGCTGGAAAAACCATCTATAAATGGATGATCTGGCGCTGAGACATCATCCCAGATGGGATAAGGTTAAAGGTTAAACCAAGGGTCTGGGGGAACCTTTTTGAAAACATATGTGTTTCCCCCTTGGACAAAAAATCGAGAAAGAACATAACATGGCTGATGGTTATATCCCATCTAAATCCCATTCATATCCCCATTATATGTGTATATATATATACACACATACATATGCATACACATACATATACATATACATATACATATACATATACATATACATATACATACAGTACGTATGCGTGTGTCCCAAAAATAATCCTCATGAGTCCTCATGACATATCACCAAAAAATGCCTACACAAGTTTTGCCAGGACGCGAGCGGTCGATGATGTTTCCCCCATCATTCCCAGGACACGTTTCCAAACAAAACATAAATGCGTCAATATGTGTATTATCTCTCTCTCTCTCTCTTCATCGCCTTCTCGATATATACATATATATATATACAAAGGTTTCAACATGTTTTAATCACCGATAGTATCCTCTTTATATCCCCATTAATCCCTTCCCCCTAATATTAAACACTCCCCAGAAACCATATAGTTTAGTTGGGGGTAAAAACATATATTTGGGACCATGAAATGGGGGTGTTTAATATTAGTGGCATGGGATTACCATCATATGAAATTAAAATAACGTTTCATATTTTTCATTAGTTATGGGATATAAACCATAAAATCACAATTATAATTATATATATAACTATATATCACCCATTACTAATGGTTTATGAGCCATATCACTCATATATCATATGTATATATAATATCTCACAATTTTAGTGTGTGAGTGTCTGTCATTAGTTATATCACCCATTATATAGATACCGCCAGTTCCAGTTGATATCACCCGTGCCAGGCTGCCAGGTCCTAGCCTCGAGCACTCCCTGTTCCATTTGCCAGGTCTCTCCCTGGCGTCGGTACTCTTCCACCTCCCGTTGCAAGGCAAGCCTGGCATGGGGAGCGGGGGGAGGTGCCGGCAAAACTTGTAGAAATCTATGGGATATGGACATATAAATGAAAATATAGACTAGATGATACTAGATGATACTAGATGATATTAGATGATACTAGATGATACTAGATGGGCCTAGATGATACTATCCAGTTTAAGATGGCTATCCAACAAAAATTCCACTTCTGTGATTTTCGATGGCCCCATCCAACGACATGAGACCTAAACGGGTACCTAAACGTTGCACGCAGATCTCCTGCAAAGGATTGGGGTTTGGGCCAGGATGTCCGGCCTGGGTATAGTATGATATCATTGAAATACCGATATTGATGTATATTGATGTATATTGATGTATATTGATGTATATTGATGTATATTGATGTATATTGATGTACAGTACATTTGTACATTGATATCATGACTTATATTGATACCATCAAAATTGCTATTGCATTGTGGCTTTGATGCATATGGATGTTATATGATGTCATATTGTCACCCCCCTTGTCACCCATATGACCCATCCCGAAAGGCCAATTGCTTCAGCTTCCTCTTGGATGAAAGCATCATAAATAGATCCCACAGAAAAGTATATATATATACATCTAAAAACATCAGGTGATATTCAGATCCCACGGTCTAGCCTTAAGTATCCACTTAGATAATCTTAGATGTACATATATATATATATATGGAATACATATGCAGGTATCCAACAATAGGTCTAACCCCAAATCATCCAGTGGTCAGACCATCACAGCCCGCCTCGAAGCCTCTATCTCCGAAGCTTCCCGTCGCAAACGCTCAGCCTGCGCTTGAAGGCTTGAAGCCAAGATAAAAAGGGATTTGTTTGGCCCGGTGTTGGGAAGGTTTGGGGATTTAATATCATTTATATGGGATATATATATATATATGTAGATATGCGCGTGTATGTGTATATTATATATATATATATTGTGTATCATTTATATATGGTATATCAATGTATATCATTTATATGGTGATTTATATGGTGATTTATATGGTGATTTATGTGGATTTAACATCTTATATGATCTATATCAGGTGATTGTTAATGAAATTTTTATGGGATTCTACATTGGATTGATAACTGTTTATATGATTTTATCGGATTTCTATGGGTTTCTATGGTGACATAGGGATTTTGATTGATTTAAAAAAACAATTATGATAACTATTGCTGGCCTGGTTTGAAAATCCCAACCGCCCTTGTTAGATCTTCATCCCCATCTTTTTCTGCTTGCGAATTGCGAATCGGCCGTTTGCCGCTCACCTGGCCGGAAGTCATTGAAGGCCACCACGATAGTTTCATGGAACGTTGCCATAGAAATCAAGGCAGCTTCACTGGTAAGTGATGGTAAGTGATGCTAAGTGATGCTAAGTGATGCTAAGTGATGCTAAGTGATGGTAAGTGGCAAAGAAGAACCAAACTGTAAACTGCAAAACCAGGCCTGGTGTCTTTCCTCACTCCTGGAGCCATGGCCAAGCTGTATATACAGTTCATACCAGTTCCGTCCGACGAAATTTTGACCACATCAATCCTCCATGTAAACCGTTATAAATCATTAGAATGATCACTAGAAATCTCATGAAATCTCTATAACTCAGCTTAAAGTACTATCTGAAGAATTGTCATGTTAAATCACCATGAATCACTATTAATCATTACAATCATGATGAATCCATATACACACATATATATATGTATATACATAGTATACCCCAAAAAAAGATAGAATGCTATTTGAGGTCTGAATGTTACTTTTCTATCCTTGTTTTGTTCAGGGGTTACTTTGATACACACACACACTGTTATCTTCAAAGGGAAGCCGAATTTGTTTCCAAAATGGAACAGTTACACAGGATTTACCTCCATATGTCCAGATTTCCAACAATTTCCAACTGTTCAACCACTTTTTGGGAGTTACTATATCATACTGTTGATGGACAACATCCTGCCCCGGTCAATATGGTCCTTCAAGGAAAATCGATGGGCCGGTTTGGTATACTGTTTAGTATCATCTGCCCATTTGTTCTCAAAAAGTAAAGGCGCTCGAGTAAAATCAACCAACCAGTTGGAAAAGGACATCTATGGCCCCGGTTGGTAACTCTTGGTAACTATGAAACACTGCAAATAATGGGATTATAATGGGATTCACCATCTACCAACTGGTGCAGGATTTCTTCAGCATATCTGCTCCTTCCACTCCGTCCTGCCGCGCGCGCTTCGCTGCAGGTTCCAACGACTCAGCTCCAGGCGCCGTTCCTTTCCTGGGTGTGGCACAACGTGGTCTTCGCGGGATCTAACCCTTGAAAGAGGTAACAAAAAATCTCGTTGTGCATGGGCTATGATCCATTGAGTATGGGTGTCACTTTCCCCAAAGGGCATGCTGGTGCACAATCCGAAAAACAAGATAGAATGGAATGAACTTCTGTTGGAGTGTTCATCTATATACATATGTATATTATATATATGTATATATATATATGTGTGTATATAAATATATATGTATATATATATGTATATATATATATGCATATATATATAATATGTATATATATGCATATATATATATATATGATATCATATATACCCAAAAAATGCCGGAAACCTAGGTTTGCACAAGCCAGAGAGGCGATGGCATCCCGCAAAGTCTGGAATCGGAAAAATAATCCACACCTGGATCCACTCAACAAAGCCTCACAATGTGGGACAAAACTGCATACTACCCATCTATCTCCTGTATTATCTGCAAAGCGCAGCCACCTCCTTACAAACAAAGCCTAACGCCTATAGTATAGCCTACATTTCCCCACCCCCCCCCAAAAAAAAAACATGTTTAGATTAGATTATTTTAGTGGACTTGGAATTCGCCACCCAAAAAAAGGCACCCCACACCACATTTCCAAGGCACTCCGGCACCTGCGATGTTGTTTTTTTGGATTTCATTCCGTGGCTCAGCTGAAACTGGGGGGTTTGCGGAGTGGGCAAATATGATGCAAGATGGTGATAGGGCCCGTTGAGTTTTGATACGTTTTGATAGACGTATGGGGGCCCCTATTTTCAGAGAAACCCCGACTGGAATGAAGGCTTACTTCATAGCTAAGTAGCCGAGATTCTTCAAGTATCATCCAACGTCTCAAGACAGGTATGCTACTTCTACGCCTAATAGCACCGTCGTTTGTATACGACAACGTCCCCTAAACCGGGCCTCTGGCTTCGTAGCATCATCTCCTGTCCCATCGTTGGAAAAAACCGGCTGCATGCCAAATTCTTGGGAACTTCTCGTCCTCTAGTAGTAGTTTGGTTGGTTCTTAGTGGGCAGAATGGGATGATAAAATTTCCAGGTCAACCAATGATGATCTATGGACAAGAAACACCCGGGTCACCCGCCTATTGACCTCAAGGATAAAACAAGGGACTGCTTGGTCGTCTTTTCTTCTCAATTCCACTGCCAAAATTGCCATCCAAATCCAAAACTGGGCATCCATGGCATGGCCTCGAAGAAGGCTGCACAGAGGATCCAGCGCACGCTTCAGGGAGCCTGCAATGCTGTGCTAACTTCACATGACTCTGAGTCACTCAAGCACAACAACGCGTATAAAATATAATGACAAATATCAACAACAAGGTGAAAATTCAGAAAGTAAAAAAAAGATGGCCGGATATGGCTCGGGACATGTTAATTCTTGAGTAGATAGATTGCAAGAGGGCCATCATCATTTACTAAGGAAAATCTTTTGATCAAAAGCTATGTATCTTTCCTGGCCGGGGCGGCTGCATTTCCAATTCACCCCAGAACGTGCCACAAAACTCTAGATGGGCACCGGCTTTTTGTAGAAATTGTTTGAACTACTTGTGGCAACATTAGACATGTCTCTACAGCCTTTACTTTAGAATACCTATGTAAAAACCAAAGTTGACCATATAAAAGGTGTACCCAAGTCTCCACTCCCAGCACTCGAAATTCCAACCGAAAATGAAATGGCAGGTTGCAACCCCTCCATTTCTTATGAAAAACATACGATCTCACTGATAAGGAACTCAATCTCTACCTTTCTATATCGATTGCGCGCATATATTTACACAAATTATATATAAACTGTATCATCTAGCTCTATCCAATTACAATGGGGGTTTTCATAAATGGTGATACCCAAAAATGGACGGTTTACAATGGAACATCCTATTAAAATGGATGATTTGGGGATGCCCTCCATTTTAGGAAACCTCCATATATATAACTATGTACTAATATTATGATCTAATAAAATATGTATACATCCTTGGAATCACCACAGAAAACAATCCTCCATCCTCCTATTGTCAGGTGCCCCCACTGATCTTAGCTGTGAGCTGCTTTCCAAGACTGACTCGCGCCGTCAGTTTCCTTGCAAGGCACCATGTTTCACTTACAAATACCATATATAATACCCCATAGTTTAATATGCTATGGAAATGACCCTACCATGTAGTTTGATGATTTACTTGTTAAAATACTGGTGTATTTGCATAGGCATGTTCAATTACCAGTACAGGAACATATCTGAGGTGTTGGCAACCAACCAGCCTTCCAAACATGTCAAAAATTGCTGGTGTCTGAAGCTTCTTCTGCAGAAATGGTTGTGTTTTGGTGGCCCATCAATGGCAACAATGGCAAGTGTCTGCTGCTCCGACTGCTTCTTTTCTTCAAGCGCCTGACCGAACAAGAATAGTGGCCCCAACCAACCTCCAATCCTAGGGGTGCTCCCACCAGCCCTCCAACAAAATACAAAGGAATGTCACAAAAAGAAGTGTCCAGAAGTTCTGAATGGGAAAGGTCATCTCCTTTTTGTCCGGAGTATCTTTGACCTCACCCCTCTCTGACAGGCCTTCAGCTCTTCCTCTAAAGAGATCCGCTTTTGGAGTTCCTGCTGGATCATCGCAGTCAAGGCTGTGGCCCTCTCCTCGGCAGGATCCATCCCGAGATTCACCCGTACTGCTGGTTGGTGGTTGGGCCTACCCCTCTGAAAAATATGAAAGTCACTTGGGATGATGAATTATTCCCAATATATGGGAAAATAACAAATGTTCCAGAGAGCGTGCAGAAGGGCACGAATTTGATTTTGGCAAAGGCGGCCACTTGCGGCCACTTGCGGCCACTTGCGGCCACTTGCGGCCACTTGCGGCCACTTGCTCTGGCGGCCACTTGCGGCCACTTGCTCTGGCGGCCACTTGCGGCCACTTGCGGCCACTTGCTCTGGCGGCCACTTGCGGCCACTCGATTGGCTGCAAGTGGCTGCAAGTGGTTGCCGATGAAAAGAGAATGCGGGCGGCCACTGGCGGCCACTCGATTGGCTGCAAGTGGCTGCAAGTGGCTGCCGCTGAGAAGAGAATGCTGGCGGACACTGGCGGCCACGCCGATGAGAAGAGAATGCTGGTGGCCACTGGCGGCCACGTGCGGCCACTCGAGTGGCTGCAAGTGGCTGCAAGTGGCTGCAAGTGGCTGCCGCTGAGAAGAGAATGCTGGCGGACACTGGCGGCCACTGGCGGCCACTGGCGGCCACTGGCAGCCACTCGATTGGCTGCAAGTGGCTGCAAGTGGCTGCCGATGAGAAGAAAATGCGGGTGGCCACTGGCGGCCACTCAAGTGGCCGCAAGTGGGTGCAAGTGGCTGCCGATGAGAAGAGAAGTGGCTGCAAGTGGCTGCAAGTGGCTGCAAGTGGCTGCAAGTGGCTGCAAGTGGCTGCCAGGCGTGGGTGAAACTATATTTTTCACCATTCATCCTCTCTTGGGCGGAGAATATTGGGAATTTTCCGTTGCCTGCGCACGGAAAATTTATAACATTCTCCGTGGGCGGAGTCTTGGCAATGTGAGGTACTGTACTGTCCTCATTTCTATGTTGAGGGAGTTTCTTTTGATAAGGCACTAGGTCATGTGGCTTCTCAAAGCTCCCTTTTTTTCGTTGCAGCGTTGTCCTCCTCTTTTAATAAGTCCTTCCTCTTAATTGCTTCTCCTTCCTTTTCGTTTAAACTCGTGCTTTTTCGTTGTGGGTCTCTCCCTGTCGTTCCAAGACTCTTTTTTTCGTTGCAGCGTTAATCGCTTCTTTTAATAAGTCTTTCCTCTTAATTGCTTCTCCTTCCTTTTCGTTTAAACTCGTGCGTTTTCGTTGTGGGTCTCTCCCTGTCGTTCCAAGACTACTTTTTTCGTTGCAGCGTTAATCGCTTCTTTTAATAAGTCTTTCCTCTTAATTGCTTCTCCTTCCTTTTCGTTTAAACTCGTGCGTTTTCGTTGTGGGTCTTTCCCTGTCGTTCCAAGACTCTTTTTTATTCTTTTTTTTCGTTGCAGCATTGTCCTCCTCTTTTGATAAGTCTTTCCTCTTAATTGCCTCTCCTTCCTTTTCGTTGGAACTCGTGCGTTTTCGTTGTGGGTCTTTCCCTGTCGTTCCAAGTCTCCTATTTTTTTCGTTGCAGCGTTGTCCTCCTCTTTTAATAAGTCATTCCTCTTAATTGCTTCTCCTTCCTTTTCGTTTAAACTCGTGCGTTTTCGTTGTGGGTCTTTCCCCGTCGTTCCGAGTGTGGGTTAGCCGCGGAAAATGTGGAAAAGTTTCCGTGGGTTAGCCGCGGAAAATGTGGAAAAGTTTCCGTGGGAGGATGTCAGGCGGCCACTTGCGGCCACTCGAGTGGCTGCAAGAGGCTGCAAGTGGCTGCCGGTGACAAGAGAATGCTGGCGGCCACTTGCGGCCACTTGCGGCCACTCGAGTGGCTGCCGCTGAGAAGAGAATGCTGGCGGCCACTTGCGGCCACTCGAGTGGCTGCAAGTGGCTGCAAGTGGCTGCAAGTGGCTGCCGGTGACAAGAGAATGCTGGCGGCCACTTGCGGCCACTTGCAGCCACTCGAGTGGCTGCAAGCGGCTGCAAGTGGCTGCCGGTTACAAGAGAAAGAGCCACTCGATTGGCTGCAAGTGGCTGCAAGTGGCTGCCGGTTACAAGAGAATGCTGGCGGCCACTTGCGGCCACTTGCGGCCACTCGAGTGGCTGCAAGTGGCTGCCAATTCCAACATCAAATTATATACGCGCCTCCTGCGTGCTCAATGAAATGTTCCGAACCACCAACCAGTACTGCCAGACATTATAATCATTATAACACCCGCAACATGTGTAAGGAGTCTAAGGTAGTCCAAGTATCAAGCCCCGATTTTTCGGTAGAATGAGGTGTGCCTTATCATTGGACTTAACTCCTTTACCAGTATTCACCAGAATCGAACTAACTGCCGTCCACCTGGGCTATCGCTGTGATAGTTCAGTGTAATTACATCCCTGAACGTACATCATCTCAGATCTACACACTTTTCACCTGGTCATGTCAATGTCACATCCTGCGGTTTCAGTGCCTTCAAAAACCAAAAAAAGGCTGACATATTCAGTATTTGATGTATTTGTACAATGCGACAATTACCCTGGGTCCTTGCCAATAGCGACAGGGACAATTGTCACATGCCGTTTTTTGGCGCCTAGTTATCTTGGGGGATTGCCGAAGCATCGTCATCAACGTGGGCCATGATGTGGTACCAAAAGTTCAGGACCCGGAACTGTATAATTTTATGGATTTATCGTGCCTGATACAACTTATCTATCTAAGCTTGCATGAAGATCATGCAAATTTCCAGTTATTGAACAGCGGAACTGGGTTCGTACAGAAATACATTGCTGGCCACGCACCACACATCCTTAGCATATTTGGATTCGGTTGAGATCGCGAAGTTTCCCATTCCCCATGTGGCTGCTATCTCTCTGCTTTTGCTGGTTGTGCAACTTGTTTTTCCTGAGCTCCCCATTACCGATCCCCTGGCATCGACTGGCGAGTCAAAGGCACTGCTTCTGCTGTGGAGTCCTGTTCCTTCTCCTGAAGCAATCGACAGGAAGGACGCGCTTTGAGTGATCTTTCTCGGGGCCCTCTGGACTCCAGTAATTCTAAGTTGGGTGGAGCATTGATCCATGAGAAAATGATGGATAGATCTGTGGGGTCAGAAAACATAGTAAGATTGAGAGGTTTTTCTGCTCAAATAAGGGTTTGTACAACCCATGACCATATATGACCATGAACTGCTGCCATAGCGATCATGGAGTCCAAATGGGGCCCCTTTGGGTCGCTTTTTTTTTTCGCTGCTGGTGTTTAGCTCTGGTGAGGCGCTCCACCAACTTCCAAGTTTGAAATGCATCTGTTGTTATTATTCTTATTATCAGTTTTTTATTACTATGATGATTACGAAAATTATTGTTCTTATTGTTATATTAACTACATATACATATATTTATATAATTCAATTATAATACATATATTAAGAATTGTATTATATATATCAATATATATATATATATACATATGTATATATATATATATCAATAGTTGTCATATATGTCCAATACCCTCTGGTAAACATTTATATAACTATGGTTAAAATCACCATGCTAGAAAAATTAATGGCTAAATCAACTATAAATCTATGGCCATGGCTTCCATGTCGCTTTTTCTATGTTTACCAGGCCGGGTAACTCAACCCATCGGATCAGCTGAAATCCCGCGGCCTGAAATCCCGTGATCAAAGGTCGCAGCGCTTCCAGCTGCGGTGTTTCCAGGTATCGACATCTCCCAGCGGCTGCACGGCAGACTGAGCCTCAACGACTGGGTGAGAACTTATACATGTTGGGTATGTGTGTGTGTGTATTATATGGGTATGGGTATATATGGGTATGGATATATATATATATATATACACACACATATATATATATATATACATATGGTGTATATACATATATATATATATATATGGGATTATATGGGAAATTATAGATGAGAATTCATTATTGCAAAGTGATGGATCGAGGGGTTGATATGGATATATCAAATATTTTTCGACAAACCCACATTTCTGATGTGGGTTGGCGACTTCAGCCACCCGAACAAGAATATCAGTGACCGTCCCCAGCAGCCCTGGAAGTCTGCCCTGGTTCTTGTGGCCGTGGGATAAAAAAATGGATTAACATAGCATAGCCCCAACATTCTACAAAATTCGGGTTGATGCCAAATAACGAGACCTTATTAATGTACCACTTTTCCAGGAGCGAAATGCCACCATACCACTCAAAGTGTCTAAGCAAAGTTTCAAAGCATGGAGTATTAGAGTATCCTCTTCAGGGATTGATGAGCTCATCCGCGGCCCAGCCACTCTCATACTTCCTGGTTTGGAAGTTCTGAAATTCGCTTTCGGTCTGCTTCCGGGCGGCGACTTCGGCCATCCTCCCGTTCTCCTCGGAAGTTCCGACCATGGCATGGCGGCCAAACTCTTTCCAGGTCGTGAAGCTGCCAACTTGGTTCCACCAGCCACCAACATCCACCAACCACTTTTGAGGATCATAGAATTACCCTCTGGTAATTTAACATAGCTATTGAAAATGGCCATTTATAGTGGATTTTCCCATTAAAAATGGTGATTGGCCCCAAATATCCCCAGATTCTAGGGGTTTTCGCAACCTTCCACACTTCATTGCTCAGCGAGCATCTGAGAACTTGATCATGGCACGATGGGCCCGCCTGGCGGGAAGGTGAACGTTCGATCGTTTCATGCAGATTCTTACACCAAAGGCACATGTCTGCAATATAACTCCAGCATTTACATATATGAATTAAAATATACCCTTTGGTAAATTAACATAGACCCTGAAAATAGCCTAGTTTTAATGGAAATTCATCTTCCATTCCAACCCCTATGTGGCAGGGTCTATGTTAATTTACCAGAGGGTAGATCCTTCGTTTTTGTCCGAAACTTTATGTACATACACGTGTGTTTGTGCATTCTGCTTGCATATCTTCGTAAATTTTGCATGCATGTAAGAACGCAACACTGAAATTCCAAACTGAAATAAATTCACAGTTGCTCATCATATGTTGAATCATGTTGGCTCATCATATGGGTATGGGTCAATACCTATAGATACATTTTTAGTGGGATGAACATCCATTTACCAGCTATTTTGGGGTTCACTAGGTACCAGGGTTTTGACCCATCCCCATATGTTGATTCATGTTTAGCTCCCCAAGTTTCCCATCCTGAGGCTTAGCAGCTGCTTCTGCAGGCTCAAACTGCATACTTCGAAGCTTCCAGTCTCGCCGTTGTTCTGCTTGGCCGCCTGTCGGATGTGGAGTTGACTCAGCAAGTGGTGATGATTTCGTTCTGCTCCTACTCTAAAAACATCAGTCATCGTCCCCATCTTCCCAGTTTTTCTTGCACCAAAAAATTGCACATACCAAACATGAAATTCTTAGAGAGTTGTATCCTCTGAATATCAAACATGGCGATGACTTGCCCGTTCTTTGGCAATGTCATCTCTAAATGGAGGATCTTCAGCCAGTGAGGCCCCGTGGTTTTGAACGTTGGATGGGCGGGGCGCATCCATACATCCCACTGTTCACCACCCCATCATCCACTATCTGTTACTTATACTGTTATATATATCACTATTAATATTGAATTGCATATCCATCATCCCATCATCCATCATCCCAATAGCTATACATATCTTTAATATCATTTATATCTATAACCCCCAACCACGTACTAATCTTACTATGATTAATATGATTACCATTGAGATGGTCACTATAAGACTATTGCTAGTATGATCCCATATGATCCCCATCCCATCCATCACGAATCAGCCCATCATCCCAACACGCACTCGTGACTATCGCAAACGAATTATGCATTGCTAGTCAGTCACATTACTCTGTGACTATCAATGTGACTATGAAAAATACTATGAAAAAGTTACTTCATCATCCCATCCCATCATCCAAGACCCTATTAGCCTATTAAAATATATTTTCCATGACTATCAGACTATCTGAGCATCATCCCATCCCATCATCCATCATCCAGATACTATCATCCTGATTATTACTCAGAAAATCTCAGAATATGACTATAATATATAAGCAATCATCATCCCATCCCATCCCATCATCCAAGACCCTATTAGCCTATTAAAATACATTTTCCATGACTATCAGACTATCTGAGCATCATCCCATCCCATCATCCATCATCCAAGACGCTATTAAAATATATTAAAATGACTATCATTATCTCACCATCATCCCATCCCATCCCATCCCATCCCAGACCTTCAACTTCTCCAAGGTCTCATAGATTTTGCCCGTCGCCTCCCTGGCGGCCTCGAAGCCCAGCTCCGGCGCCAGCGGCTTCAAGTCCTCCGTGCCAATGGGCTCGGTGCGCCGGGCGTTCCTGACCGTTGCCGTTGGCGAAGACGGGGCGGGGAAACCATGGGAAAACCATGGGAAACCCATGGGAAAACCATGGGAAAACCAGGGGAAAACCATGGGAAAACCATGGGAAAACCAGGTGAATTGAACATTTCACATTTATATGTAGCAACATGTATCAACTGATGGTCGGATTTTTGTTGGGAGAGGTTTGTGAATTCAACAATCTGACGGTTTTGATGATATTTCATTGATGAACAAATACGCGGAAAAAAATGAAAAAAACATGTGTTCGTGTCTTTTCTTCAAAAACTACGGAAACCGCAAGGACGGCAACGAACTATGGCAAACCTGGCAGCCGCTCAGGTGGAGACAGGTGTCCAATGCAACTGGTCACCCGACAGTTCGGAAAAGCCACATGGTCAATACCATCCCCAGATTCTCGTCGTCAACCCCTCATGTTCCCTGCATTTTCTCCAAGCCCTACCGTTTCTCACTTGAAACCCACATATATTTACATATATGTCTTCAAAACTTCCCCATCCAGCCTCACCTGCTTCAACTTCCCAAATTCTCCTAGAAACCATCCTCCACACATCCCCATATTTTTGGTGGTAACGTCAACCCCAAGCGCTTTCCCGCGGAGCGTCTTCTCCGCAATGGCCGCCACAGCCTCCGCCGCCTCCTTCTCGGCCATGCTCAGTTTTCTTCCAGGCCCCAGGCCCCAGGCCCCAGGCCCCAGGCCCAGCTGAGCCAGCTGCAAATGCGAAGGCTTTTGTTAACATAGACCTCTGGTATACAGACGGTGCCAACTTTGTCTCACGGGTTGGGAACACTTGCAGGTTAGATGACTTTCTGGAAAAATCTGAAAACTAAGGCTTTTTGACTTCAGGCTCTATGTGCATATATGCGGGAGGCTATTCAATTAAATCATAGCAAATCACCATCAACTATCATGTGGCCAAGGGAAACTGAATTCATAGCTCCAACTGGCTCTCCATCTTGGGAATATGGATACCGTCCGACGCTCCGAACTGCTCAATCCGTTCACCACTGTAAAGTGTACACATCTAATCTATGTCTATCCATCTACATCTGTCTATTTATCTGTGATATATGTTTTTTGGTTGGCATCTCTTGTGAGATAGATTCTATGTGCATGGAAATCATGGAAATGATGGAAACAGTATACACATGCACCTGGCTGCCCTTCTATGAACTCCACAGCATGCAACACCAGAGCCTGAACATGCCCATTCCCAATGCTCCCAAGTTCAACTAGCAACGCATTTTTTACTCAGTGGGTTGATGTGGGTTGCAGTTCGGTCTCCAATCCCGCGTAGCTCACTGGCCAATGTGATAATATCTAAAGCGAATCTAAAACTGACAGACTTGGGTGGATGTTCAGGCTGAGCCCATCATATCCCACCACTGCCCCCCCTTTTCTCACGGGCTTTCACCGAAAATTGGAGCGAAACTTCTCCCTTGTTGGGACGCTGAAGATCACGCGGAGGGCCAGACCGACCAGGGGATGTAAACCTCCAGGGCATTGTGGGGCAATTAGCGCAAAACCCCTTGGCAGTGGCTATTCCTAGAGGATCTTTGCTGGGGCCTGTAAATATATCTAAATCTATATAATCCTATAGCCTATATCTATATAAAAATTAATTAAACTTCTATAAATCACATACCCTCCAACAATCACACATGGCAATGGAAAAGCCCCCAGTCAACCCACTCATATCCGATATCCTATTAAAAATCCCCAGTATACTACCATAAATAGTAGTTTACTCAGAGGGGTAAACCACCATGGAAATCCCATGAAATCCCATGAAATCCCATGAAATCCCATTGATTGATGTTAAGTCTCTGGTTTAAACCTGGTCAAATGGCCATGAAATCACCATGGAATCAGCAGCGGCACCTGTCCATCCATCAAGCACCGGGCGGTGCGCACCATGGCCGCACGCAAGAGCTCGGGTGGCTCCAATCGCACGGCCGCGTCCACGTCCATAACCTCAGGACGGGGAGGGGGTAAGCCTCGGAGATGCCAACTGGATGGATATTTATATATTCATACCTATATATATATATATAAAGCACATATATCATCATATGTCATATATCATATATCATATATCATATATCATATATCATATATCATATATATATATGGGCAAATTATGACGACCTCACGGCGACCTCACCGGAATCATGGTTCATAAGGAGAATCATCCCAAAATGGCCTTATTTCAGGCTAGTGAATTATTATAATTTGCACAGATAATAATTATGTTTTTCTCTAAAATTGGCAATCTACAAATGAGTTACAGTATTATAGCTACAGTATTAACATGGTGATTTTCCATAATCATCCATAATCCCTTCGCCCGTTCATAGCAAACACCCCGAGAAACCGTGGTCTGATAGAGGATTTACACATGTTTGGGACCATCTAAGGAGGTGTTTAATACAAAAGGGATGGGATTATCCCAAAATTCTACCAAAAAATACCAAAAATAAATGCCAATGCAACTTCATGTCTAAGATTTGTTTCGCACAAATAGCGGCAATTTACACACAGAAATGTGGATTCAGCAGGAATTCAACTGGTACAATTGGCTGGCAAACCCTCAGCTAGCCAGGTTAAATTACCAGAGGGTACCCACGGCTGGATCCCTTTGAAGCTTCCACATCTCCTATATGATCACTGGAGCAACACTAGCTTTTGACTAGTGATGCAAAACATATCTTTCACAGAAATGCCAAAGTTTGTAAAGGACAATCATCTGGCAAATTTCAATCTTTGGATTCTGCACTGAGCTTCAGTTGGGTAGCTTGACACGACCGCAAGGATAAGAAGCTGGGATGCTTTCACTGGCCCACACAAGTTGCTAATGTAGTTTGACTTTTTACCACATGAGAAACAGCGGAGGAATGTTCAACTTGGGTATGCCGCAAATCGGACTTGGCTGGTCCAAAACAAATCAAGTTGCTGATCCGAGCCCAATTCTGGGGAACTTTTTTTTGCTCCGCTCAAAATGATCTATTTCACCATGTCCATCAATTTTCCCTTTCCCTCTGACAAGCAAACATCTTGGGAAAATACGCCTATGAAATTGCCAGGACAGGTCATGAGATGGACTATCTGGGGTTGCAGGACAAACCCAATGGTATTTTTGGGGGGCTTGCCATGTCACACGCACCCCCTAAACTTAAGCTGGAACCGGAAAAATGAAACGTTTTTGAACGATTTCTAAGACTTTAAGAAACCTTCATCTAACCAGATTTCAGATCAGAAAGAACCTAGGAGAATTTTAAAAAATATGACTTAGATGACTTTGACGTAGGTTTTTTTAAACTATTACTGTTGCTAAGCATCAACCCCCTCTGGATCTGCCAGGGCACTCCACTGGGATGGCCGATGCGGACCTGGCCACTTCGATGTTCCCATTGAAAAATGCATTTTTTTGATATTTATTGATGTGTATAGACATTCATTGACGTTTATTGATATTTACTTATATCTATTGGTATTTATTGATGTAATTATCTCTGTTAAATAAAAATATGTTACTCGCTAACTACTCATGTATCTAATTTTTATCTAAATAAAGGTAGGTCTAAAATGATGTACTGGTACATCTACATAGATGTCAGCTCTTCAAATCAGTTTTCATCGTCCATCACAGCCAGGACACCAGAGCTTTGCAGCCATCATCGCTGCGCGGAAAAGGCTTGAGGCCTGCCTCAAAGCGGTAAGATCCCAAGTGGGCGATCTGTGGCGATCCATAGTTGATTCACCATAAGTCACCATAATCTATTAAGCTGCATACAGCTGCATATATGGAATGGTTCCTGTATATAGTTACTATTGAAAGTATATACGTAGTATGTAATTACATATATATGTGTGTGTGTGTACATGTATGCGCACGTATTAGGTCATAATTCTGGCTGACTTCAAGTAATTCACTAACCTGAAAATAGTTGTTCTCATACTGCCATTTAGGGATGATTCCCCAAATTAAATCCCAACCAGCATTCCAGTCACGTCACGAAGTGCGGTCATGACCAGATTCGTCCAAACAATAATATAAACACTATATAATTATAGATAGTTTACCCATTTAGACACCACAATACCCTAGAAAAAACTCTATTCTACCACTGTCTGCCATTTTAATGGTGAGTAGAGAAATACTATGGATATTTACCAGTTGACCTTTCTATCTGGGGGTTTCCTAAAATAGGGGTACCCCCACATCATCCATTTATATATATATATATTGATTTTCCACTATAAACCATCCAGCTATTGGGGTACAGTACCCCATTTATGGAAACCACCTGTATCTCTCTATGGATATCTACCAGTTTACCTATCCATAGTATTTCTATATTATATATATATCCATAGCATTATCATGTATTATCCATTGATTACATATTTCACCATATAAAATACTCTAAAAAATCTCTCTATTCATCGAAAAATTCGCCCCTTTTTTTCGCCGCGCGGCGAAAAACGCGCCTCCGGGAAAATGCTGTCCTCCAGTAGTGCTGCGGCCGCCGTGGCCACCGAGCCCGTCACGGGATATGCCTGGGGATCTCCGGGCCGAAAAAGGTCGAAGTTTTGTAATTTGTATAACATAACATCATTTATATGATACATCATAAATAACATAAATATATGTAACATATAATACAACATGTTATGAATAAAATGGTAATTTGTAATTTGTATATCATATTTACCAACATTTTATATCAGGTAATATGTTATATCGTGTAAGGTAATGTAATGTGATACTGAAAAAATAATATAGTAAAAAAAATATATATATATAATATATATATAATATGATTAATAGTGTACGATATAATATGATAAATCAACTATTGTACTATGTTGTAATATATTAAAAGCATAGTTTAATACATTTTAATATAACATAATATGCTATTGTATTTTGGAATATTACAATATGGTAAAACATGCTATAATATGTTATAATATATTATAGAAAATATGTAATATCGTCACCCAGGAGTAGATAGAATATGATCAATACGGAAATGTCAAAAAAAACACTAGAATGGGAATATCTGTGAGAATCCCACATTCTGTCTACTCCAGGATGATTACATATAAACAAAAATATGTACTGTTTGTATGTATGGGAATACATGCGGGAAAACCAGCCATTTACGGGAATATATGAAATATGCATATGTTATGTATGTACAAATTATATGTATATACACACATACACTGCATGTGAGCAAATGTGATTCGGGTTTGTCCTAAAATTGGGAAATCGCATAGATCACTTGCAGATGTTCCATATGGAGGCCAGTTCGAACTAACTTTCAAGTTGTCCAGATACTGTACACTCCCCTAGGTTTGGGGGCCATATCAACTCGTAAAATATAATCATCGGGAACCCTATTGTCAAATTCTATGTCAAATTTCAATGGTGTACAAATGGAATCAAATAAGGAAAATTACCCAAAATTGAACAAAACAAAGTGGCTGTGGATCAAATATGGTCGCGTTCCTCATTTATGGCCAAGATCAAACCCAGTAATGAGAAGATTTAGAGATGGCTGCGCCATGGATCAAACGACCAGCTCACATCGAACCCCAAGGGCAACGCTGTTGTGCCTGGTGGATCTTCTGCATGAAGACCTAGCTGTCAACCACAAATCATTGAGGATCAGTTGCGTTTGTTTGGGTACTACATATATGTTACGTGTATATGTATATGTGAATATGTATATATGAATATGTATATGTGAATATGTATCATTATATGAATATGTATATATGAATATGTATCTATATCTGTATCTATATCTATATCTATATGTGTGTGTACGTGCATATCTGACATATCAAATTGCTCTCTAGTTTCCCCTTATTCATTTAAGTGCTCATTCACATCTTGATCCTCCCAGGTTTCCCAGTGCAGCCCCATGACGCAAAGAGAGGAGAAGTCCGCATCCTGGTCCATGATCGGAACACAGGGAGAATGGGAAGTCGAATGATGGAGGGATAGTCTGGTTTCGAATCTACGAAGTTTCGACACGTCCAAATCAAGCTTTAAAAAAGTAGCAAGGTCTGGTAATGTCTGGTACCCTCTGGTAATTTAACGTAGCTATTGAAAATGGCCATTTATAGTGGATTTTCCCATTGAAAATGGTGATTTTCCATAGCTATGTTAGTTTACCAGAGGGTAATTGTCTGCGACTGATCGGTTTCAGTCGGTACATGGTGTCATGGCATCCTTAGATCTCATGATCTTCACAGCTACGCATGGCTTCCCAAGTTATCAATGGGCATGTGCCAGCTCACCCTGACACCCTGGTTTCACACCATGGGATATATGATAGCAGGTACAGCTAGAGGTTCACTCCCCAGTTCCGATACAGTAGCCCCATATGTGTTGACTCACATGTGTTGAATTGTATCATGCCGTGGCTATGGCTATTTCATGGCTACCACTTGCTGGCAACAAGTACAACTTACAGTAATTGTAACATAAACATACCATGAATGCCATGTTTGCTTACTGTGGTACACTGGATACACAACCACAATCCACACTATAATCCCTAGCATCCCAATATACATATATATATATAAACATATTTAGAATCAAATGTATCACACAAAGTCACATGTAATAACAGACTATTCCTAGTCAGTAACCTCAGATAAAAAAAAAATAGAAAAGTGAATGTTCTATTTGGGGATAAATAGAAATATCTATAATACCCAACCTATTAGTTCTATAGATTCTGTTCTAATATTACTAATGTTCTATTATTACTTCACAATATCCATTTCAGTTTACCCTCTGGTAAACTAACATAGCTATTGAAAATTGTCATTTATAGTGGATTTTCCCATTAAAAATGGTTATTTTCCATAGTTATGTTAGTTTACCAGAGGGTATCTCTTTGGGGATAGCTATGTCCGTATTGCCCTCGCGGATCATCATGGATCATCTCCGCCAAAGCCTCCGATGCCGGCGGCGAAATCGCCGCCACGAAGGGCGTGTAGGGCGACTCCTTCTCCGCCAAGTGCCAGTGCCTGGCAGACAGAAAAGTCACCTTTAAAAGCAAACAGAAAATCATGGGAAATAGTAATAACTACTAATAGTAATAGTAATGATAATGATCATAAAAACTTAATAATAATAATAATAGTAGTAATAATCATAACTGGTTGGTGGTTGAGCCTACCCGTCTAAAAAATATGAAAGTCAGTTGGGATTATGACATTCCCAATATATGGAAAAATAAAAAATGTTCCAAACCACCAACCAGGAAAATCATGGGAAATTGTGACCACAGTACCCACTGATCCAGAACATGATACTGCAAATTTTACCAATCAACGTGAATAAATCATCTAAGGAGCATTTGAATAATCCCATTCCCCTAATATAAAACACCCCCATTCCATTGTCCCAATTACCCTCTTGTAATTTAACATAGCTATTGAAAATGGCCCATTTATAGATTATTTAGCTATTTTGTTTGTTCATTTTCAATAGCTATAACTTTTAAATTACCAGAGGGTAACTGGAATTTCCCTACTAAACCCGTGGTTTCTAAGGGGGTGCAACCTATCCACCGCAACTCCACGAGCACCAAGCGACTCAACGATGCCCATGCGGACGGCTGCCACACCGCGGATGCCTGGGTAGCGTTCAGGTTGTTCGAAGCTTCCCCATGTATGGGCATCATAGTGTCAACCAATTCCAGAAATTAACTTAGTAATATGCAGTCTTAATATACATATATCATATAGTTAATCACACATGTATGTATATATATATATAATATGTAAATATATATATGCATGTGTCTCTCTCTCTCTCTCCCCATCGCCTTCAGACCAGCTCACATATATAATTATAAATCATTATTATTATATATATATTAATATATACCTCTCCCTGTTTTTGTCTCTGTGTGTGTAGAGGTACTTGTTATAATGGATATATGTACCCCGCAAACGAAAAATCGTGGTGTACCCAGTAAGGTATGGGATTAATTCATATTGAAGTCCCTTTTTGGGGGTTCGCTCATATTATTATTCTTACTTTCTTACTGGAAGGACTGTCCAAGTTTAACCATGTTGGGAAGCCTTTCAACTTAACAAAAACTGAAGTTGGTCCCAGCGATTAATTTTGCAGCTGCTAGACCCAACAAGTGTCTTGGACCCTTCAAAACATAGAGGCAACCTTCTCCAACTGGAACTTCCTAAAGAAGTCTCTTATTGAATCTCATCTGTTACTAAAATTGCATATCATCAAAGCAAATACTATATATATATATATTAGTTAACACTATGAAATGTAAATATAAATAAACAATATTAGACATAGATGGTTAAAGTTATACGTAGCTCAAGCAACTCTCGGTCAACATTCATCCAAAGAATATCCCTCAGCTTCTGCAACATCCATGGCCAACCAAGCTACGTTCCACCCTGCGAAGTAGCGCGGCATCGTTCTTCAATGCCTGGGAAGGGATGCTGCTGTGAAATCTGTGAATACCACTGAATTATAGACAATCGCAGAGAACATCAGTGGTACAATTATCAGATTTGTCCAGTGGTATACATCAGTGGTATACAATAATATAATCATACCAATTGATCAGTGGTATACCACTTTCTGAATGGGTAGTCCTATTGTTGAGGTACTCAATTGCGACCCACGCCCACGTCAAGATATGTTGCCACATGCTAATAATTGTGCCCTTGGAAAGTCCACGAACCCTCTGAAATTCGAATTTCCCAAACATGTCTACCGGAAAAACTGCAAAATTCTTTACTTCAGCTCACAGTCGGTGAGCTTAAGGGAATCCTCTCACATCTGTTGGTGAAGACTTTTATTCACACAAATCTACCCTCCGGTAATTTAACATAGCTATTGAAAATCACCATTTATAGTGGATTTACCCATTGAAACTGGTGATTTTCCATAGTTTTTTGTATGTTTACCAGAGGGTATATGGTTTTCTGTGTCTGCCTGTGCCACCTTTGCGAAAAAAATCGGGGCTTCATACGATTTTTGTGCCCCAGGCGGACCTCCGCCTGTGCTTTGGGCCCAGCACCAGCCACCTTGAGCCGGTGGCTAACTTGCCCCAGGATTGCCCCAGGTCCGGCAGGGACCCCAAGGCCATTGAAAATGGCCATTTATAGTGGATTTTCCCATTAAAAATGGTGATTTTCCATAGCTATGTTAAATTACCAGAGGGTAATTTTCAGCCAAATAAGAGGGCTTTCGTGGGAGAAAATCCCCCTAAGCCAAAGCTAGGAAACAAAAAGAACAAATGAAAACAAGCTTCATCAAGGTTTTATGCAACGGAAATGGGGGGCGAAGGCAAAGTCACGGATGATGATTTGGGAACTCCATCGGTTCATCCTGAAAACCACCTGGAACTGGTTTTTATGTTCCGGGTTATCCAGCCATGGCAGTTCACCTGTTCATCCATCACATCCCTTCCCTGCCGCTTCGCACGGCCAACGGGAAGTGGTAGAAACATATTCAAACATCAAAGGCACAAATGTATGGATCTTAATCTGATGGGTAATATATGGTAATATTGCATTTGAATACATTTGACTGTTTACGACTTTTCCAGTCTGGCACAGTTGCCTCAAGATCTACCCACCAGGTCCATCCCAGGATGGCACCTCCGGCTGAAGTTTAAAGAGATCCGTGGCGCGCATGAAGACCATGGGTTGGCCTGGCAATAAGGCGATACAGATCTTCAACACCGGGACCACGACCGTCACGACTCATCTTGCATGGCAAATGCCAATTGTTTTCCAAGTCATAGAATAGTCATAGGGCAAAGAATATAAAGAAGGGGAAACATCGGCCAGAAACCAACAAAATCAGGGTCTGCGTTTCTATCACTTTCCCATCCTCCCATGGTTTTCAGCACCTGCATCCAACAGTGTGACGTCCACCTCCTCCGCCATGCTTTCAGGGCCATCACCAGGGACTTGTAGACGTTCCTTCAGCCTCGGATTAACGTTGCAAATCCACGAACTAAATGGGCAGTGACATGGGAAAAATAACATCAACTGATGCCATGATTGAAAATCCACTAAAAATATCTATAAATTGATGTTTTAATGGGAAAATCATCTAGAACTGGTGGGGATTTTCCATTGCCGTGTTTGACTACCGGAGGGTAAGACACTTTTTTCCCCTGGAATAAATTGGTACAACTGACGCATCATGAGCCCACTTCAGTCTACACAATACTTGGGCCAACGGCGAAGTTCTCCCAAACATCAGTTCTATACTCATCACTCGAAAGACATCAAGCAACATACCAGAAAGGTCAGCTTGCTTCTTCACACCACTTGGGCCTCCAAAAGACGTTTCTATCTTAACCTTAACACATCTGCTCGCCCATCTATACATACGTATATGTAGCCAAAAAAAAATATCACATCTACATACAGTATGCCTGCCCGCCAATCTTTTGAGGAAATATGATACAACCATCTGAGCAGTACAAGGGCCATCCCATTCTTCGCTCTCACCGGGAAACTGTCCTGATGGAAGCAGCTTCCCTGTGACGCTACCTCGAGTGGCCTCAGAAACATCACTAAGCGGGTTACCTGTCAGTTTTTTTTTTAATAGTGTCTTAATCACAAATATAATATAACATAGCATAACATAACATAATATAATATAACATGATATAACACAATATAATAAGTTAATTTAATTTAATATAATAAAATAACATATACAATAATATGATATAATGTATATTATATTATATCATACCATATGATATCATATTATATTATATTATATTATATTAATATATATATATTATATTATATTATTACTATATTAAATTAGATTAAATCAAATATGTTATATTATTAAATTGTATTATATTACATTTTATTATATTATATTATATTATTTTACATGTTATATTATATGATATTATATTATATTATATTATAGTGTATTATATTGTATATTAAAGTATACTATACTATACTATATTAAAACGTAATTATAACGTATTATATTATATCATATTTTGTTATATCATATATATTATATCATATGTATATAATCAAATATATATATATATATGTTATCATATATATTATATCTTATATTCTATTATGCTATACTATATTATATTATATTGTATGTATTGTATTTTATATATATGCACAGATTTATATATCTAATCTCGCCTACTCTGCTCTATTCATTCTACTGGACTTGCTCTACTCTACTCTTCCCTACTCCACACTCTCTCTAAGTTGACCTAATCTATTCCGGTCATTTCTGATCTAATCTGGTCTATCTCGTCTTGTGCGTCACATGTGTACTAATACATACATACATTGAATCACATTACGATTACCACTACCATGTTTACATTACAGTACATGCATATATATACACACACGCATATTACTTGTTTATATTCGTGCGTACCTGCAAATATGTGCGCATGGTTGCAAATGTTTTTGTTTTTTTCCCATATATATATATGAATATATATCTAAACAGCTGTATGTCATGGCAACGTGGTTTTGCTTTGATAGGTTTTTGTTGAACGGGGATGGTCCAATCTCGAAATCTGCAAACACCATGGGCTAAGATTACCATCCAATCATCCAATGAAGGTGTCCTGTAAATTCTCCCTTCAACCAACCCAATGAACCATGGTAAACACCATGGTAAACCCATGGTAAACCATGGTAAACCCATGGTAAACCCATGGTAAACCACGCTTTCCGCTAAAGATGTTCCCAAACATCTCCAAAATCGATCTCTCTGCCATCCCGGTGTCCGAGAAGTCCAAGTCCACCGGCGCTGCCGTGCCCGGCACCTTGGTACCCGGAGTCCTACGGAGTCCTACGGGACTCCGGGGGAATCAGTGGGATCTGGTTCAATGGACACATGGAGTCTGTCTAGGGATCAATGTGTAGATGTATCGATGGTTCTAGGTATCTATGTATCTAGCTATCTGTGCATATGTATGTATATAATGAATATAATCATATATGATCATATGTGTATATATATATATATGTGTGTGTGTATCTACCGTTTGTATATATGTTATATAGATGTAAGTGTGTGTGTGTGTAATGTATATGACAGCGTTGTATAGAGAGAGAGAGGGAGAGGTATGGAGACGGAGAGGGACAGATACAACCAAAGCAACCGAAATTTGTCAATGGATTGATTTAAGGCGATTTATGATATTGGTCAGAAAACTACAGGAAACCAGAGGTTTTAACCAGCAAATCTAAGGGTTTGTCAACTCATGGCCTTGGGTGAACTAAATATTGACTGGGGAATCATTGTCAACAACTGCCTGAAAAATCTGAAAAACCTACTATCATCCTACTATCATCCTACTATCATGTGCTTGGTAAACTCTTAGCTCCTGGGCTCTCCATTGCTTCGGAATTCTGGATAGCGTTCCAAACGGCTCTCTCCCAAGCACCAGATTTGGTTCCCTCTGCGGGCATACCGACTGTCATGCCGCCATGCCCTTTAAAAGTCAAAATCATAGCATAAAAACTTGATAATGTGTAAAGGATGTACAAAAGATGCTGGATTGGCATGTGAGAAAATCATTTTTTGGATTAAATCCCCAGTGGAGAGATCAGTCCTAATCCAGTCTGGGCTTCATCGCCAAGGTGCTCCAGCAATTTCGACTTCTCCATCTACCGCTGCCCTACCCTCCTTAGCAAACAGCTCAGTGGGTAGGCTTTGCTATTTGGGGATGGTTTATACCACCAGAAAAACCACCCATCAACACATCAACATGATGGGGGAAGGTTTATTGTTGCCTTTACCACATTGGCACATATAGGTCATATAGGTGCGAGTTGTGACTACTCTCCTGAATCTTCTCCAACTTCACCAAAATTGAAAAGACGAGATACACCCAATGGGTGCCTTAAGATCAACAGCCGAGCGGCTGACAGCTGCACAGTGCACTGCAAGAGGGCGCCAGTGTTGGTGTTGTGGACGCGGACCACTCGCTGCGTCCTCGGGCAATTCTCTCAACATTGCGTAGCATGTGTGTGTGTGTGTCACACGGGTAAGACTTATATCATCTTACACCATATATATCCAATAATCCAATCCAAACATGATAGATATTGGATATAAGATGACATAAGTATTATATCCTAATATTAAACATCCCCTAAATGGTCCCAATTATATGTGTTTATCTCCTACGATACCATGGTTTCTGGTGTGTTTAGTATTAGAGGGATGGGATTGAAATTGAGGGGGATTTTTGAAGCAGTGGAAAGCTGCAAAACCTATGCAGGTAGATGATGTCAGACTACCACACCGTGGATCCAAGATACAGCTCAAACTGCGATCGGACGAGGGGCTCACTGGCATCAACCGGAACAAAGCCTTTGTCGATCCTTGGCTAAAACCAAATGGCACAACCGGCGTTTTTTGTGCCAAATCCATCATCGGTTCTTGGGAACCCATCCCCAGGCCCCAAAATTGTAGTGTTTTGTATTGTTGTATGCACATATCTATACAGTGTATATATGTGTATATACGTATGGATACTATTCAACTATATAGAAAGAGAAATAGATAGATAGAATGATAGCTTTTAAAAAATCACATGCATGCACTAGGAAGTTACTTTGTTGGTGGCCGAATTGAATTTCGAGCGGATGGTCCCCACCCAAAAAAACGCAATGTTACAACGAGATCAGCGTGCACCATCGTAGCGGAGACTCGCATAGGGTCCCACGGCTGACGAGATATTCCCTGCGCAGCTGGAAATAAGGGCGATAAGGGGCATGTGACCCATATGACCCGTATGACCGTATGACACTTCCATCGCCAAAGGATTGGCTGCTTGGTCTCCATGAACACCTAAAACAACTGCAGACATTATTTTTGGCCGCAACAGGATGCAAAATAGATATCAAAGTGCTGTATCACTTTGGCCGCAAGGTGCGCTACAGTTGCAACCTGAATCTTCGATAAAAACCACCCCATTCCCACACCAGGCACTGCAGCCCAGGCACCACAATTTCCACCATAGTCCACCTGGAAGCCACCGTTTCGTGAACCCAAAAAGCATCAAAAAGCCACTCCCAGCTATCATTGTAGGAAAGCGTAGGGGGTCCTTTTCACAGATTTCGCAAGGTTTTCCCAGGATGATGAACGATGATGCTGAGTTGTACTATTGCCATTGTTCTTACTATCGGTATCATTCATTATCATCATTATCATCATCGTCGTCGTCATCATCGTCGTCATCGTCGTCATCATCATCTTCTTCTTCATCATTATCATGGTTACCATTAGTTACCAGTATCATTACTAGTCGCATCATTGTCATTAAACTTATCATTATGGATATATTTTGGTGCACTAAGCCATGGCACCTCAGCGAGCCAAGATCTCCATTCCGCCAGCCTTGGCTTCGACGAAGGACACTTGGCCAAAGGTGTAATCCACATCCTGACGGCTGGTCAAATGCCTGGTCGTTTTGACCTTAACCTTTGATCAAATTGGCTGGTTCAATGACCCATTTTAACATATTTTAACCATGGTTTCTTGGACTCAACATGACCCATCTTTGGGTCGTCTTCGGAAAATTCCTGACGGTTGATCATGATTGATCCATTCCCACCGATCTTGCTCGCTGCTGAGCCACCCTATCCCGCCAAAAAATAGGGAAGCCAGGGATCATCGTCTCATTTTTGGGGATGGAAACGGCAAACTATGATAGAATATGTGTCTTGATCCCCTGTGTCATGTCAAAGTCCATGGAAGGTCTCAATCATATTCAATCACTATAATCATTTTATAATCATCATAATAATCATTTCATAGTCATGTGATACTTATTGAAAATCATGTTAGTCAACAGTGAGAAACATCTCCGTCCGAGCAGCAGCGGAGGGCACGGAGGGCGGCCCAATGATGGCCTGAACAGGTTTGACGGGGGCTGCGAAGCATCGCCACCGCCATAGGGGATACACAACCAGAAACGATGGGTATATGTATACATAATGGGTATATATATAGATATATTTGTGTGTGTGATCAATTGCCATCGGAGAAAAAAAGTCGGAAATCACCAATGCATTTTAAACATGTTTAAACCAATTCCAACATTGGACCAGGGTATGCAAGGGTAAGAGGTACCCAGCAAATCTTTCTGTCCATTGTCACGGCCATATCGAAAAAACACGCGATGTGCTGTGACTGGTTCTACTTGGTGGTTCAGCCTACTACCATCTACTACCTATATAGTAAGTCCTAGGTGTAATGTTGTGCCTCTGAGGGAATAGCTGTAGTCCCACTGACCCTGGCTGTTTCAGTGCCGGATTCTTGGGAGGCTCATCCCACGAATCGATAACCCAGGTGATGGGATTTGTTCCCGATTCGTGGCATATCCCACTTGCAGTTACAATAAACGGATATAAACGTTTATTATAACAATGGTTACTAACCAATTGCGTAGCTTGTAAGAGTATGACAGTATGACTATGGTTACATATGGTTACTATATACTTTAACATAACTTTAACCAGTTACGATCCCTGAGACCCTCCCAGCTGGCCAGCTTGCTGGTGAGCGTATCGGCTCCACCCAGGCCGTCAATCCTGTCAGGATCTGCCCCACAGTCATCGGCCGTCAGTCATCAACCCTCCAAAACAAGTGGTTTCAGCATGTCTCAAACCCAAAAACAAACAAAAAATACATGTTTAAAAACAAAAAAAAAAAACAAAAAAATCCAAAAAATATATGTTTATATAAAAAAATGGATCTTGAAATGAGTCGAGCCATGGAGCACCTTGAGATTGAAGAAAACTGATCAACACTTGCAGGTCCCCTGCCACCGTTCCCTCCAAGCTTGCGGTGGAGCGGCTGTCGAGGATCGGGGGAACCAAAGATTCGAAGTATCACAGCATCTCGTAACCTCCGCAACTGGTTGAAAATGTTGAAAGAGACCCTCTCTTACGAGGCTCGCTTTGTCACAAGATCTCACAAATCTCCATGGTCATGGTCCAAGAAAGGCAATGACATAATGAGGGTCATGTCCAGACACCAGCCACACAAGCCACACAAGCCATGGAGGAGCAGCTCCAACTGCTGCGGCCACGTCACGCGCCAGGCACCGGCAAATCTGATGCAGCCAGGAAAATTCCTTTCGAGGTGCCACCTGCCAACTCAGGTCCGTAGCGAAGGTCAAGGAAGGGCTTGATCTGGCCCTGGACTGATCTTTATGTTCATGGCAAATCTTAGACGCGCATACAAGAACGTACAAGTTAAGGTCTAGGAATGTCTAGAAGTCTAGCTGGGCATCATATTACCCCATTTCCTCTTGCTGTAAGGATCTATTTCAATCCATTTCGAAACAAATATGGAACGAAGCCATGGCAGCCATGAAACAAAGTTCCCCCAGGGCCCGATTTCGGTGCCTCTCATGATGGTGGTGGGGATGGCCCGCTGCATGGCGATCCAATGGCGCGAAGGGTGTGAAAGGATGAGGTTAGTCAACTGGGCATAGCTACCGGGCAGTGACATATCTGGAGGATTGCAGCATGTCTTGTTGGGGCAGCCAAGTCATCCAAGTCGCAATTTCAGTTGACCTTGCGTAACCTTGGAAGCAGCCCCTTCACCTTTGAAGTATTCGATACATTTCGAATTTCGTGATCTGCGGGGCCAGAAAAGCTGCGAATTGCCATGACTCATCATGGTTCCCGTCGCACAGCACGTCTATCTCCAGCGCTACGATAGTGGGAAGCATGCAAAATACGCTCTGGAAATGAACCTATCAACAAATGGCGGCGGACAAGAAATCTACCATGATTAGGAGAAACCCGCTAAATGAAAAGCAATCCATGGCGAAACCTATATAACAGAATTGAAAACTGATGAAAACGAATACTGGCCATTTCTAATTTTGCTATCATCAAGATTATCGACACCGTGTTTTTCGTTCCATCTTTTACGGTAGTTTTGTATAGGATGGTAAATTATGGTAAATTAGAGCCCTCCAGCAATGTAACACTAATTTATAGATGATTATCCGATAATTTTCCTATTAGAACTTGAAAAATGTTCAATTACTATTAAGTAGTTATCATTAATTATCCGGTATGTTCTCATAAAAATAAAAAAACAAAAAACAATGTTTTTATTTTCATGGGTGCTCTATTGTTTGTAAGTACCCTCTAGTAAGTTCCCGTTAGTTCAATGATTTTCCCAGCTATCCTGCATTTAGTTCGTGGATTTGGCAGCTACGTTTTATGACACCAGAGGCTAAACCTTACTACCCTCCAGTAAACCAACTGCGCTACGGAAAACCGAACATTTTAAATTTACCATGGATTTAATTAATTGATTTACCATGAATTTACCATGAATTTACCATGGATTTACCATGGATTTACCTTTTAAAATATAGCAGCACCTTTGTTTCCCAGGCGACCGAATGACCACGGCGCGGGACCTCCTCTGCCGTCACTTGCTGCTTGCTGGCAGCGTCCAGGGCCTGGTGATGATTCAAGATGATCGTAAGTAGTAATAACTACTAATATATAGTAATAGTAATAGCAATAGCAATAGTAATAGTAATAGCAATAGTAATAGTAATATAATTATTATTACTACATGATAACTAATAATCAGAACTGGTTGTACCCCACTGAAAAATATGAAAGTCAGTTGGGATTATGACATTCCCAACATGTAGAAAAATAGAAAATGTTCCAAACCACCAACCAAATAATAACTTAATCATAGTAGTAATAATAATTTCCGATGTTGAGAAGAAGAAGAACAAGAAGACTAACAATATTTAATAATCTAATAATATCTAATAACAATCATCATCATCATCATCATCCTCATCATAGTTAAAAAAACAATAATAACAGTATCATTGATATTAATAGCACCAACACACTCAAAACAAAAAATGCCCTGGGTCTCACTGACACTTTTTTGCAGCTGCTGCAGCTCTGACTTCAACGCTTCGGACCTGGGCCACAAGGCCCATCTTTAACCACAAAAGGAAGGTCCGGGTCAGTCAGGTTGGACACAAAAATGGAAATATTTGATTTATTCAGGGCTTATTGTGCTTATATAATTTATATATATATATTCATTTATTTGTTTATTTGTTTATTTGTTTATTTATCTATGTATATGCTTATATGTGCTTAAATATGCCTATATACGATAAGATACACATACATCATATATATATATATAATATATATGGTTGTTGATCAAAATTCCTTTATCCCGGAACGGCCATCCTTCGCGAATAAAAATTTTACTTTCGCGAAACTTTCTCCAACTCCATGTTTATCTTTCGCGGGGCCCATGTTGGCCAACAACACCTCTTATGAAGATTCGTACACCACCTGCCAAATTACGCCAGAGAATCACGGATCACTTCTTGGTAGCCTTTTAAACATGCAGCTAGCATCACGGAATCCCTTCTCAGGACAGAATTTGTTTTTCAAAGTTTACTGGCCCACCCCCTTCAACATGCACTTTGACTTTCGCCCGCTCTTTCGCATAACTTTCGCGGAACTTTCGCGAAAATATCCCTATTCACAGACCCCGGCCATCAGCAGGGGGTGCACTGAAGGAAAAGCGAAGACCAGGGGCCTTGGTGTTTGGCTCTCGCAAAGCCTCACTTTTGGAAACTTGGCTACTGCTACTCGCATTCTCTGGTGCCCTTCTCCTGCCGGACCCCGGGCGGCAGTGGGTGGCAGCCCTTTACATATAATGATTATAATACCCAACTTTCGCGAAACTTTCGCGAAATAAAATTTTACTTCCGCGAACTCGAAAAAAAACTTTCGCGAGGGTTTCCAACATAACATGCACGGCTTTCGCAATTAAAACTCCTTACAAGGACCTTTAGATCGATCACCATATATATATATATATATATATATAGTGCGATTATAACCAACAGCGCTCCGCTCTGATGAAAACGCACGGCGAAGCTTGCAATGCAGTAACATGTTTTCCTCAGGCCCACAGCCACTCACGGTCCTTCGTGATATCCAGGTATGTTGCCGGATCATATCCAAGTTGGTTTGCTCGATTTTGAGTGAGCGCCAGTGCTGAACTAAACAAAAACAAGCGTGCATAGATAGCATCTATAGGTGCTGTTGCAGGTGCTCTCTGCAAGTGCAAGGGAAGATCTCCTAGCGTAACATCCCGCATGTGTGGAAGTGCAAGAGAAGATCTCCTAGCGTAACATCCCGCATGTGCCCAAGTGCAAGAGAAGAACTGCTAGCGTAACATCCCGCATGTGTGCAAGAACGCAAAGGCCAAGAACGTTAATACACCCGCCCCCCCACCCCCCCTCACCCCCCTTACAAAACACTGCGGGCAGTGGTAGAGAACACTGGTGAACACGTCCTGACTTGGGGTTCCGCAATGGTGAAAACACGCGTTTTCACCAGTTCGGAGCCACCAACAGCCACTCATCAGAGCTAAAAAAACATCGATCAGTGTTGAATTCCAATGGAACTATCAGAATCTATATCTGCAACCTTGGAGATCTAGAATTCCGACAAAGCTGTCCATGGATTGGTTTGATGGGAAAAACAAAGAAACAGGAAACCATCCTTTCTCCTCCTTTCTCTCCTGAAATGCAGTGCCCGTCATCCAATGCTGGGAAGGCATCAAAATGATTCAAAATGTGGAAAGGATGTTGTAATGTGTTGTAATCTTTGGGATCTCGATTTTGGATAATTTTTAAATTTTTTTTTCCCCAAACTCCTTTTTGCTGCGCGTCAGTGTTTGTGGGTTAAGGCGGCAGCTGGCTGGGGACAGGGGGGTCTTCCCAGCGCGCGTCAGCAAGTAGGGTGGGGAGGAGGGGGGCCGTCCATCGCCTCTTCTCCGTGGAGGGTTAACTCCAGGAGGCTGGCGGCGTGAGCGCGGGCAGCTGCGACGGCCGCAAGGCTGGCCCAGCGCGAGCTCCAGGCTCGTGCCGCCTGTTGGCGCGCCCAGCGGGGGGTGTTTCGGGCCTTGGCGAGGGCCAGCTGGCGAATCAAGGTGACCGCCTCGGTGGACCACCGGCCACCGATTTCAAGGCCAAAGACGGCAAAGCGGCACCTCGGGGAGTTGTAGAATTCCGGGTAGGTCTGGGTGCGTTTGCGTCGCGCGGCTTCTTGGACGGTGGCGCCGGGGTGGGTGTCGGCCCGCCGGCGGGGCAGTCCATCTCTTCCGACCGGGCTGACCAGGGTCGCGTCCACTGCCACCTGGGCTCCATGCCACAGGGGCAAGCCGTTCACGCGGAAGTGTTCACTGGAGAGGGTGACCTCAGGGCTTGTAGGGCATACGGTGAAGGCTCGGCTCGCGTAGGGCCCGGCTTGGGACAGCAAAAGTGCGCGCGACGGGGGGTCAAGGTCAGAAAGAAGCGCGGCGGACGCATTGCTGTCGGCTGCTGAGCTTGCGAGGCGTTGCCACCCTCGTTGGTATTCTCCTGCTTCCCTGGCGTGGGGGTTGGGTGGGCCGGATGTGGGGAGGGTGTCCCAGGCCGGCACGGCGAATCCAGCGTCGCGGAGGATGTGCGCGGCTTGGTTCGCTTCCAAGATGCTGGGGGGACGGGAGCGGGCTTCGCCTTGCAGGAGGTGCAGGATCCGGCTGGTGACGCCAGGGGATCGGCGGTGGAGGGCTGGGAGGGTGTCGGCCCACGACGCCCAGTACGCGGTATGTCGGGTGCTGAAGGCGGAGCGGAGTCCCAGCCCGCCGTGGGTGAGGGGCAGCTGCGCGCGCATGCGCGCAAGTGATAGGAGGGGTTCCCCAGCATTGATGAGGTGTGCCAGGCACTGGCCCACGGCCGCGTCATGGTCTGCGGCGTACGTGGCGGTGCGAGAAGGGGGCAGGGTGCGGAGCAAATAATTTGCTCTGGGCGCGCCGCAAAAGAGGAGCAAGAGGAATGCGACCTGCGTGTCTTCAACAGTAGGGATCGCGGTCAGGAGCTGAGCTTGTGCGACGTGTTTGTCGTGCAAGGCCGCGGCCACATAGTGAGGGTGTCCGAGGGGGGTGCCGAGGATTTGGAGTCCTTGCGCGTTGGTTGGCAAAGCCCAGTTGCCGGTCCAAATGGGGGCTGCGGGCGGGGTTGGTTGTAGGAGGTGGATGTCCGTGGGTTCCTCCCCGGCAGCGTTCCACACTCTGGTCTTGCCTAGGTGGAGGCTGATGCCAGCGTGCGCGTCAAGGTTGGCTTGAAGCAGGTTGAATATGGGGACGGTGCGGTGTGGGGTGGAGACGACATATAAGTCATCGAGGTAAGCCAAGAGGGTTTCCCCTGGTTGGAGGTGGGGGGAAATGGAGGTGAGGGCGGTGTGGAGGGCGAGGCTGAACATAGCTGGCATCAGGGGGTCACCTTGTTCGCCTCCATCGCCTTGCAGGACTGTGTGGGGGTTGGAATGCTGGTCGTACCAGAGGTACGTGGAGGGGGTGCCATACAAGCCGCGTAGCATGGGCAGGAGGGGGGCTGTGTCTGGGTTGGCTGCAATCGCCGCCAGCATGGCATGGCGGGAGACATGATCATACGCTCCCACGCCATCGACGCTCAAGATCGTTGCGCGAGGGTCTAACTCCGTTGCTGCGCGGAGGTGTCGGACTAAGGCTTCGGCGCCCGCTTTGGTGCTGAGGGCGTGTTGGTGGGGCATGCACGCGGCCTCGAACGCGGGCGCGAACTGTTGAGCCAAGGTGCGTGACAACAGTCTCCGGAACACGTCACTCATGACGAGGCCCCGCACCCCTCCGTCCGGCTTTCGGAGGGCAACCAGTCGTCCGAGCCGCACGGCTGCCTGGATGCTGTCTGGGAGCTGGGCGCGGGCAAGCTGCTGTGCTGCAAGGAAGAGGAGGCGGGCATCGGCGTCCGAGTCCAGGAGGCTGCGCAAATGTTCTGCCGTGGCCCCTGATGGTCCCGCCGCTGCGCCGCGCCGGGCTTGGCGCAGGTTGGCGAGAAATTTCTCTTCCGATAGAATCAGTTCGGGGGGCGCCTGCGTGAGGAGTGCGGGCGGGAGGGGGCGGGCTGGCTCGGGCGGGCGGCGCGCGGGGTCGCGGAGCTGTGCCAAGGTGGCGGGCGTGCCGGGTGCCAGGGGTTCGGCTGTGAGGGCGCGTGCGGCCGCCGATAGTTCGCCCAGGTGCGCAAGGGCGGCAGCGCGGTCGGCGCGGGTCTGGGTGTTGGGCCGGCGGGGTTGTGGGCGGGGCGCACTATGGGCAGTTGTGGGCTGGGCATCCTCGAGCAGTGCTTGCCATTGTCCGGTGTGGAACTGTGCGGCGCGGCGGTCGAGCTCCTCGGCAGGGATGTGGGTCGTTCCCGGCGCGCGGTGGAGGAGCATGCTTCCATGCGCGCACGCGGTCGTCGAGGGTTGAGGGGGCCGCCAGGAGCTCCAAAGCTTGGCGATAGCCGTGGGTCACGGAAGGTGCGATACGGCGTGGCACGGCCTGCAATGTGAGCACTCGGTGCCGCAAAATTGTCGCGAGGACGATTTGGTCGAAAGCGCTGAAGGGGGATGCCGTAGCAGGAAGAGGGGGTGGTGGGGGTGGAGAAGCAGGTTGGGAAGGTGGCCGCCGCGGCGGGCCTGGGTGCGGGCCGCAAGGACGCGGCGCGCAGGTGTGGGGGTGGGTGGTGCGGGGTGAGGAGGGGTACTAGCAAGCGGGGTCGAGGGGGCGGGCGGGTGAGGGAGGAGGGGAAGTTCGTCCGGGTTGGTGGCATGGGGGAAGGTGCGGAACTCATCCGAGTGTCGATCCAAGGCCGCCGCAAGCTCAAGGCCCCCAAAGACTTGGAGGCAAGCTTCTTGCCCCACTGCAGGAATGTATCCCTCCGTGTCTTGCAAGGTACGGACGGCCCAGCCGCAATGGACCTGTGCTTGCGGGGGCAGTGGCCTGCTGGCTGTGCGGAGGCGTTCACAGAGCCCGTCGGTACCGGCTGCGGTGGTGATGTCCAGGGCAGCGATAAGCTGGTCAGGGGGCACGGGGGGTGCGGCGGCGAGCGCGCGCCGGGCCTGATCCCACCAGCTGCCACAGGCGGCTTGCCATTGTTCCATCGCAGCTGGGTGGAGCTCTTGGGCCGCGGCTAAAAGGAGGGGCACATAAAGCCACGAGTTGGCCGGAGTTCGGATGGGGCCGGTGGGTGGGGGTCGGGTGCGCCAGGTGGGGGCGCTCATCCGGGGAGCGACCGGTGCGGGCGCGGGGGCAGGACCGCGTGCAGTGGCGGGCTCGGGCTCGGAGTCCTGGAATGGGTTGATGGCGGCGGTGTTGCAGGCGTGGGAAAGGTTGTCGTCCTCGTGCACAGGCCACGGGGTTCGGCAGAGCGCGCAGACTGGGTTGGGGATTCGGGCTCTGCTCCGCGCTAAACAGGCGAGGTGGTAAGGGTGGCGGCAGCCGGGCCATAGCGCGAGGGCGTATCGGGGTGATGTAGCGTGGGTGATTGGGTCCAGGCACGTAGGACAAACGGGCGGCGCGTCGGAAGCGGCGGGCGGGCTGCTCATGGGGCAGTCGTGGGGCGGGGGGGGGGGGGCGGGCCAAGGGGGTGTGAAGGGACGGGGCTGGGGCCGGGTGGGGCGAAGCCCAGCAAGGGGAGGGGTCGGGTGAGCACGGGCGGTGCCCGGAAGGGGTGGCAGTGGCGGGCGGAGCCCGGCAAGGGTGACTACCGGATCCCACCCGGGCCCGATCGACTGTTTTGGCTGCTCTCAACTCCGGTTGCTGGTCCTCTGCCAGGCTGTACAAACTGGGCCTGGGCGCGCCGCCTGTACTGAGTCCTGTCGCTCTGTGTCGCTTCCTGGTCCTCCCCCCTTTTTGTTTCTTCTGGGGAGCGACAACTGTGAGGGACTTGTTGGGATAGTAAATGAAAAACGAAGCCGGAGGCTGCAAAATGTACAGGCGAGTGGTGCTGCCGTGCAATGGGGCTTCAAAGGCGGCGCACACAAACGCAGAAGTTTGAAAGGAAGGTGTGTGTGTGTGTGTGTTATTCCGATTCCGTTTTTTTTTTGTCTGTTTTTTTTTTTGTTTGGTGTGCTTCGTTCCTATGTGTCACACCTTCCTCCGTGCGGCGTGAATTCGACCGCCGCCTGGACTCTTCCCCGGTGTCTGCCTGCTTGAAATTTGAAAAAGGTTGGCGCACACGGGGTACGGGGCGGTGCAGGAATTGGGCGGCGCCCAGAAAAGCAAAAGGCTTCAAAAGGTGGGGCTCCGGCGGGTGCTCGAGCGCCTGGGGTCACTGCTGTCAAAGAAGTGGCAACTTCTAGTTTCGGCCTCGGCGCTGGGCAGGGAGCCAAGGGGGAAGCCGATGGGGGATGGGCTGGGTCAAAGGGATTCGGGGTCGGACGGCCAGGGCTGCGGCTGGGAGGGTGAAGTTCTGGCGGCTGTGCGCAAGGGTGTCCCGGTGCACTGGTGCGCTGAGGGGCGCGCGCAGGTCACGGACTTGGCGGGCTCGCTCTTGGCGTGCTCGCACCTTCAACCCTCCCCGTTGGCGGCGACGGGTCGGGCGCAGCTGTGCTAGTTGGCTTGTCTGGCTGGTGCCGCGGGGGCGGCGGTGGTGGCGAGGCTGGTGGGGCTGGCGGGTCTGGCCGGTCTGGTGGCGGGGGGGGGGGGGGGGGGGGGGGGGGGGGGGGGGGCTGGGCCGGGGTGGGGTGCGGCTCCGGCGCGGGCTGGGAGTGCGGTGGCGACGCCAGCGCCAGCTGTCGTCCAGTTGACTGCTGTCTGACTCAAATGCGTCTGCAGCTGGGTGCCCGGCGGTAGCACGCGAGGCTGTTGGACGTTCTTGCTTGGGGGCGGGTGTCAGGACTGCAGCGGGGTGGGGGGAAGGGGATGCCACGTCCGCCACTTGCTCTGACTCGCTGTAGCTGCAAGAGCTGGAGTCAGGTGCTTCTGTGGTCTGGGGTGGGGCCGCAGGAGGGGGGGTACCGGCTTGGGGCGGGGAGGCAGGGCTGGATGGCTGTGGGGCTTCTTCCAGTACGCCGAGACTGCCCACGGTTTCCAGGGGTATCAGCAGGAAACCGTCCCGACGCACCGCGTGCACTTTGGTCTGCCCTACCCGCAGGACCACTGCGTCCATATAATTACTGCAAATACAATCTACCCACAACCAGCAGCTCAGAGTTGCTCAACAAACAAAGCTCCCCGGCGTGACAGAGCCGCGGCCCAATATGGATAGATTGCCTGACCACTTGGAATTCCCCGAGTCGGAAGTGACTTGGAAGACCTGCTGAAGCCGAGATGGCTTGAGCCAATATTTAACCCTCCATCTGTGGCTCGAAACCATCTGTGGAGCATTTGAGATTCGCTGAGCTTTGGACTCAGCTCTGCTGCTTTCAGCAATCCTTGGCTTGGGGCCCGTCTTGACAACCCAGCGACCAAACCTTCAAGCGGCCCAGGCCAACAATACCAAGCCTTGCCAAGGGGTGCATATCAGTTCAAGGACTTCCTAGGGAGTCACCAAGATCGCTGCCAACCTGCGTCAACCGCAATATGCAGGTGCTAAAATACCATTTTTTGGTGGGTCAAAGAGTTTTAAAGTCAACGAGAGAATTACATAGAATTACATAGAATTACGTGCTTGTTGCATTTCATGATTTACCACCATGTATCCATCATTATCTATCTCATGTCAACCTCGGTACAGGATTCTACAATCAAGTCCGTTGATTCCTCGGGGAATTAAATGGTTTGCCAAGAACTGATACCCCCTATTGGTAAAGTGGTGGTTTATCAATCCTCGGGTTAACGTGATCTATTTCTTTGCATCCCTTTAGAAATTTCACAGTTTGGAAAATCACTATGAAAATGATATCGAGCTAAACAGGTTCCCCTGGACATACCCGTTGGCCCAAGCCCATATGAAAAAAGCAATAGAAAAGTGACGTTTCATGACGTTTCACATTAGTTTTCTATATAATCCTGGGTGGACATTACAGCAGTCCCCAAAAAGATAGAAAAATAGAAGTAGTATGAACTAATTAGCAGAATCCTACTAAACTATGTATGTTCATAACTGTTCATGTTTTTTTCCATGTTTTTTTCTAGCTTTTTATGGGAATCCTAAGGGCTCCAGGGCTGCAGGGCTCCAGGGCTCCTCGCCCCTTGTGCTTCTGACACTCCTCCTCTGCCTCCTGTGCCTCCGCAAGGGTGGCGTTTTGTGCAGCCCATAGGGTCGGAATCTTCAATGAATCTGGGAACTCCAACGGAACTTCACATGAATAATCTGAAACCCATCGAACATCACACACCTGTTTAAAGGGCACATTAGGGGTTTTCTATGTTTTTGTGAAATTGATCTCAAGAATGCGCGAATTTACGCACAACATACACCATCAAAGCTGGCGAACAAATACCCCTAAAATCCGGTTGCTCTGGTGGTTTTGCGAGGGCTTTTGCTCTCCACACCTTGTCCATCAGGCTGTTGCATCTGGTCTCCAACGCAGTTCGACCTCCAGCCCATCTCCGTCAAATGGATAGAAACAGGAAAATAGATGAAAATAGGATGGTAGACAGAGAGAGAGGGGGGCAAGAAAAGTTGAAGTGCTAATAGTGCTATCTACTTATGATGTACCCCAAAAATGACCTTGGCACATCTGGTACCTCGAGGCTACCAGGCTAAGCGCAGGACTCTCTCATTGGCGTTCCATGCAAGAAGTTCACTTTCAAAAATTGCAGATTTGGGCAGAGTGCTTATTATTCACCAGGCGGTTCCATTTACAAGCCATCCTTTATGTTGTCGTTGTTGTTGTTGTTGTTGTTGTTGCTGCTGCTGCTGCTGCCGTGAGGTTGTACGAGGTTGTACGAGGTTGTGAGGATGTCATAATTTACCCACACAAGTGGATCTGAAACCCCTGCATTTGATCATTTGATGCTTACATGAATCTATAAGATCCCCATGTGTGCCATTCTAAAATCACCATGGGTCCATCACCGCCCCATTCATCTTGACCATCACGACTGCCATCACTGCCATCTCAACTCGGAGCCCCGGGGGCCCCAGCTGTTGCGCAATCCCGACAGTTCAGCCCTCAGTTTTGGCACTGCCCAGCTGGCCAGCGGCGACGTGCGGCGACGGCCCGAGATATCCTGAGATCCCAACACCATGCTTTTCCACTCCTCCGCGCGGGCCAAAGTCTCATCCTCAGAGCTCGACCAACGGATTCCCGGATGGGAAAAAATCCTGGTTGAATCGTATTTCATAAATTTAAGATCAGCAATCCCCAAATGAATAGGAAGGTGAACTCCTACTAAAATGGTGATCAATCACTTTTCCAACTTCTTGGGGGTTTACATGGGGGGTTGCTATGGCTGATTCGAATTGCTGAGATGCCCCAGCACGCAATCGATCCGCATCGGCCATCAAGTTCGCCTGCCTACAGCTACAGGATATCTAAGTCTTCTCCAAAAAGACTACCCAGAATGCACATCCTTCCAGTAATTTAACATAACTATGGAACATATTGGAACATCACCAGTTTTTGGTCTGGTAAATCATCAAACCAAATCAATCCAAATGGGCCATCTAAATCCACAGGATTCCATAGCCATGTTAAATTACCAAAGGTTTCCAAAGGTTACCTTCCAGTGTTCTCGGAAAATGACGCCGGACCTGGATTCGGTGTATGCCTCCTGTTGCTTCACCTGGCAGCTTGGGCTTGGCCGATTGTTGATCTCCTACCCCAAAAAATCGATCCCCAGAGATTCCAGAAAGGTGGATTTTCCATGGGGAAAATGTTCTCACCAAAACATCTTCAGCAAATCCAAGAAATCGTCAACTTTCCTGGGGAATCCGGTGGGGAATTGTGAGATATTGATGTTCAAAATCCCACTTGGCTGCAACTTGGAGCCTGCTTCTGCAGCATGTCGCGCTCAGCCTGGCTTTTTTTGGGGGGCATCCTGGAACATCGAAGATTTTGTAATGGGATGTGCGGTATGTGATGATCAATTAGGGATTGTTAGGGCTCGAAATCCTTTGACCTTCCCAGTTTGGATGGAAACCTGGTTGAAGACTTTGTTGTGATCAAATCATGATATCAAATTTGGAGAAAATTGCTGGGTCCATGGCTATTCTTTAGTCTTGAGCCAGCCCTGCGGCAGCTTCGAAGGCCGCCCAGTATGCTTGGGCGAGGCAACGTCCACCCTTTGCTAAAGCCATATAATGATTCTTGCAAGCATCAATAAGATCGCTCTGATCACTAGAGCCAGGGTGTGCCTTCACTTGAATGATCTCGGCCGACAAAAGCTGATGCCTGGGAATTTTGCATGCAGAAATGAACAAAGTGTTCCTAAAAGTTCTCCGCCCAAAAAAGAGGTTCCTTCCCACCAGCTTGCACCACCAGGACCCCTCACAATGTGAGGACACATACAGTGACGAATTCAATCACACCTACAGTTTGACCACAACTGAACACCGTTGCCAACATTCTACAAAAGTGTACTGGAATGCATCATGCAATACCTGTTTCATCTTATTTCCAGGCACCAGGTTCTTGTTCTTCCACCGGATTTGTCGGGCCACGTCCTCATGTCCTTCCCTCCTCCTCCTGAGTCTCAAGCGATTGTCGGAGCCCCTGAAATGCAGCGGTTCCAAACATAGGAGACATCTTCTTTCTGTGTCCATGTGCCATTTTTTCAAACAGATGCACCCCAAACAATCCAGCAAATCCATGCCTGGTGAACATCGTGAAAAACACGTGGTTTTGAAGGCATGAGCTGAGTTTCGACCCATCCAAATCCTATTTTGGATGGTTATGGATATGGGTTATGGATAAATTATTGTGGATGGTTATGGATGGTTAAATCAGCTCAATCCTCACATGTTTGATGATTTTCCCAAAAAAAAAAACATATAGCATCGTTGGTTTTGACCCATCCCCAAAGCCTGTCTTTGATGTGTCATGGTGAAACATGATGGTTGACCCATGTTATATACATCAACTCATTTATAGATATTTATAGATGCTTGACCCATGTTTTCCCATCCATTTTGTTGGGATGTTCCAGCCTTCCAGCCATTGTTGATGCTAAAACCTCCCAAAAAGGGCTGGCATGACCCGAGGTGGGCATCCCAAGAAACACAGGACCCTCTGTGGGCCTCATCTTCAGTGCTGTGGCGTTGCTGCAAATGTTTGGCCTGAGACACAGGCTGACGCTCGGGCAGCTGGTCAAATTTTGATCGAAGCAGCAAAAAATCGGTGAAGAATGTTGGTGAAATGGGAATTCATGGAATACACCATGCATTATGGGGAAAAACCGTTTGAACATGCTTGAACAACATGTTCCTCCAATTGGAAACCATATTTCAGACTAGTCGAGACGTTCCCAAAGTGGGATTGAACAATAATTTCGGCTGGACCCAGGGAGGTCCACTCCCAGGGCTCCAGCCTATCAACATAGAAAAACAATGATGTTAAATCTTGGAGATTTTTAGCTATAACATCCAATACTACATCAAAATGTTTTTTTTAAGTATCTCCCAGCTTATGAACTTTGGTCATTATTTATCCAACATCAAAAAAATGTTTCATCCTGTCCCCTAACCCCCCTCCAAAACAAGCGCACTGTGTCGAATCCGCGCCCAACTTTTGATCCTGTCCCCTAACCTTTCCCCCTCTTCAAATCTATTGGGGCCATGTGGCCAAGATCCAAAAATAAAATCAATACCACGGGCACATATTACTATCTATATTTCAATCTTTTATCCATGTAATAAACCTGTAACATGTGCAGATTTAATCCGTTTGTTTGGTTTATGTTCTTTTTCCAGAAAACCTACAGGCTTAAATTTTGGTAGTACAAACGTGCATCATATACACGCACATACACATACATACACATATACACATATACACATATATACACATATATACACATAGATACACATAAATACACATATATACGCATATATACACATATATACAATATATACACATACATATATATATATATACATATGTACACATATGTACACACATGTACACCTGCACACGATACACATATACATATATACACATATATACACATGTATATTATATATATACACATACACAAATACAAATGCATACATATTTACATGCGTATAATATATACATGTATACGTATATGCATATACATATGTATACATATTTATAGTTTATACATATTTATACATAATTATACATATTCATACATAGGTATACATTGGTATACATTGGTATACATGTGGATGTGGATTTAGATACATCAAACAGGCCAGTGTAGCCAAGCAGTGCATTGTTTTCTTGCGAAGCTCCGTCCGACCCTGCCCGAACCTGGTCAACCACACGCTGATGCTCAGCAGTCAATGCCTGGTTGAGCTGGGGCTCAGTCTGAGAAGAATTATACCCTCTGGTAAACATACAAAAAACGATGGAAAATCACCATTTTTCATGGGAAAATCCACTATTTCTATGGCCATTTTCAATAGCTATGTTAAATTACCAGAGGGTAGCTGGTTGGTGGTTTAACCATCTTGAAAAATATGAAAGTCAATGGGAAGGATTATCCCATATATATCCATATATGTGGTGGGTTTAACATGCTTTAACCATCTTGAAAAATGATGGAGTTCGTCAGTTGGGATGTGTGATTATTCCATATATTGTGGAAAATAAAAAATCTTCCAAACCACCAACCAGATAGGGATGGTTCAAAACGGAAGCACCAACGGATGCTGAAATTTCAAGAAAACGTTCATCAGAAATGATACTGCATGAAATTGGGGGATCGAATACTGGCAAATACTACCCGATACTTTCTAATATTCTCCGAGGATCATTTTGGGATCATCACAAACATATATAAACATCATAAATCCTCAAAAACGCATGTATCCATCATATATCCCCTGGTTTCGCTCTAACTCTTCTAACTCTATCCTTCCTGTATCTTCGTTTCATATCTTTCCCACAATGGCCTGGTGTCCTGCTAGGGCCTCTTCGGCCCGAAGGCCTAGGTCCTGCCCAGTCAGGTAACATGGACCTCAAAAGTCTTCAAATTTCATCAAATTTCATTGCAAATTGTACAATATACTACCTACTGCAAGATTCTGTAAAATTTTAGATGGTTTTTATGTGTCTTGATGTTCTTTAAAATTTCAGATTCTATCTACTGCCTCAATGACTATGTATATATATATACACAAACGTACACAATGATTGTTGGTGTATATAATGTATAATAACGTATATATCTATCTCTCCATCACCTATATATTGATTTATTTCTTCGTGATCATGTTCTCTTCATGTTTGATCTTATATTCCATGCACTATGTGGAAATCTAATGTTTTTTGTATCAATGTGTGCCATACACATACCCCGAATCATTGAATATGCCAGTAAATCATCATGCATCGGATACGTATGTGTATGTATTACACTATATACATTAAGAACAGACACCATCATTAAACCACCAACCAGCACTGTGTCCCATTATCTTCCGGTAATCAAACATGGCTTGGCACCGTGTGGTCTGCTTCCAAAGTCTCATAGCGGCCACCTGAAGATTAATTGGAGTTCCATCGATGTGGAGTTTAAATCAGAAACCATGGGTCACTAAGTGTTTGTTTTCTAAGATAGGTATGAGTTTTGAAAAAATGACGAAGGGAACGACAAAGGGACCGGCCGCGGGGCTGCTATTTCCGTCTATTTCTCGAAGTTTGGGGGTGCCCATTGGGCAATGTATATAAATTACATAATATATATATAATGTATAATATGATACAGTACTGTACTTATGATAGATGGCCACAAGTAATGTTAACCCCGGAAAGAGAAAGCCCGGCGCCAATAAAGATGGAGGGTTCCCAAAATGATGCTATTTCCCTTTATGAATGGTAACCCCCCAATTAGTAAACTAGACAAATTCCACCAATTCCACCCCCTGGCGCCCCTACGCAATAGATCATACCTGGGCCCGCGCCGTGGCTCCGAGCTGGGTGAATGACGGTCTACAGAATGGCTACAGTAGTGGTTGTTCATAGTGACATATAGTGGCTAATCGTGGATAAGTACCATCTGGAAAGAAAATCTGTGGCTAGGGTGCCATACCCATGTGTGCATTATCACACTTGTCGTCATGCTCTGATCTCCTTTAGCCCAAATGCACGACCACTTTTTTCCCAGAACTGCTGCGCAAACGATGAGCAGTTAAGTGAAACATCAGGGGCTTGCCTCAGCGTTGAGCGCGGGTTCGTGCTGCAGTTGACGCTTTATTTTGATCTGCAAGTGCCAACAAGATCCAATTGCACCAATCGGGTTGGTATTCCCCTGGCTAAAAATCACCAGCTGGACATTTAGGAACATGTTCAGTTGGAACACATTGTGCCTCTGACACCTTTAAGTACCATGATCCAAAAGGCAAAGGGACATTCAATGCTAGGGGAGCTGAAGTGGGCAGTGGCCCCTAGCCCTCGCAACCCCTCAACCCACAACCCCCTCCACCCCAGCTGCACCTCGCAGCTTCGCACCCCGACCCAAAAAAGATGGTTGTCATCTTCAAGTATTCGCTCTCTTTTTCAGCGCATTGCCTGCTCCTCTTCATCTTCTTGATCTAATCTGGCCAAAATGTCATCAATGGAAGGTATGTACACTTTCTCCTCCCCCTTCGCCGGCTTCACTTCCGGCGGTTTCACTTCCGTCTTCAGCTCTGGCGCGGGAAGCGGTGCATCGCGGCCCCGGCGCCAGGCCCATGATCCAGTCGCAGGCCGAGTGGTGCCAGAGAAGCCCTGGATACCCTCGAACGCAAGGGGCACTGCGGGGACATGGTCATGGAGAATGGGATAACCAACTATGGTGATACACGCACAGATATGCGTATATACTGTATTAGCACACATATATCTAAAATATGGCAAACTGGATCATGTATCCATATGTATCCATAGGTGCATATATGTGTATATACTGTATATACATATCATATATATATAATTATATATATACATATTGGCCAACCAATATGAGTGATATGGGTTTCTCTGAAAATAGGGTGCATGCATACCGGAACTGTATTTCAGACAAAAACCATATGTTGATCTAAACGTGAGAAACATGCAAGCAATTGCAAACATACAGCGATGCGAAGATGTTCAAGATTACATGGCTGGTTATGATTCTTCGACGTCTACATATTACAAATATCACCTTGTGTCGCTGAGCTCTCACGAGACATCACCAAAGAATTCCCCCTCATCTCCTCCCCCAAGAAAAAGGAAGACCCGTTCAACTTTCAACCCGAGCTTATGGGGTTATTTCATCCCATTCCAACTTCTTTTTTCGTTTGGATTCCTTCATTCACCATACCAATGAAAAACACATCACAGGAATCAAGGCACCAAATGGGTATGAGTCAAAAAATCGTGGCAACAAAAAAAAGAAAATGCCTAAAGCTCTATGGTTCCATGAATTTTCCAAAAAACTTTCACCCCAAGTGCTGAAAAAACCTCAGCCCCCGTGGCCTTGTCGTTGGATTTCCCATTGTCGCTGCACTTGGTCTCGCCCGTGTTTCCAGGGCAGACGTCATGGCCTCTGGTGGATGTCTAGGATGGCATAGGGAATTCGACCAGAAACCACGTCACAAATCCCTGACTTTGGAGATACAACAAATGAGTCTTTAAGTATGTCCCCAAAAAAATGAGGCATGCTACCTTGATGGATGTTTTTTTGGCTATGTGTACTCGAATGGATGTCAATCTCATCGGATCATTGAATCGCCCTGAAAATTGCAGAAAAACTCCAGGCATCAAGGACATTAGATGACATTAGATACCCTCTGGTAAACGTTTACATAACTATGGAAAATCACCATTTTTAATGGGAAAATCCACTATTTCTATGGTCATTTTCAATAGCTATGTTAGTCATTACCAGAGGGTACTCACACAGTTGCCTCTCGAAATAAAAATTGCGAAAAATTGACGAAGTTTGAACCACATGCATCCCCATGCCCGATGCCTTTCAATCCCAGCCAGGCGCCCCGAAATTTTTTCGGGCCCTCCAAGTGTAGTGTGATCTATCTGGAGTTATTTGTTATTCTGTAGTGAATGTAATTACTTCAAGAAATGTGAGCAATATATTGCTCGGTGGATGGGGGTTCGGGATTCTCATGATAGACTCGGATAAGCCCCAATGTATTGAACGGGGTCGTGTATAATATAATCATCAACAAACCGTGAGTTTCGAAAAAAAAACATGATGTGTAGAAAGCACATGAAAGTACTACCATAACTACCTGCATTGCAACCCAGAAACCGTTGGAGGAAGAAGGCCTCAGAGGCTCCTTGTACTTCTGGGCGCCGTTGGGGCCGGACCCGTTCGAGACGCCGCTGACCGCATCGGTGACGGGGACGTTCTCCTTGGAGTTGAGGTTCAGGCCCTTCAAGACCTCGAAGCTCCGGGGATTTTGGCAATTTGACAGGCAAATCATGTTTGAACCCTAAGGGTGCTCAACCACTAGATAAAAATATGTGCGTTTTATGTGGTTCAATCATCATGAAATTGGGGGATATAACATGATATAACCATATTGTAATATTAAACAATAAATTTATATAAATACCTCCGATATCCTCCAATAAGGGACCCAAAATGAATTTGTCCAGTATTGCATGTTTTTTTCTCTGGCATGAATTCCTAAAGTGGAAATGGGCATTCTTAGAATGATGCCCCTGGCTAAATCATCTCCCTCTCTATGCAAAAATATGTATATATATATATATGTATATATATATATATATGTATATATATATGTATATATATATATGTATGTATATATATATATGTATGTATATATATGTGTGTGTGCACAGTATGCATATATATATATTGTATTTATATATATATATGTGTGTGTGTGTTATATATATATATATATATGTTATTGAAATATGTCACAAGTATCCTGGCTGGAAAGCCACCACCTTCCGTCCATGGATATACATGCGGAACGTCCCATTGCCAGATGAGATTACCGGAGGGTCGTTGGAGGGAGAAATGAATGTAACCCCATCCTCCCAATTCATTAGATGACATTAGATACCCTCTGGTAAACTAACATAGCATTGGAAAAACACCATCTTTAATAGATAAATCAACTATAAATGGGCCATGTTCAATAGCTATGTTAAATTATCAGGGGGTATATAATTCATGAATATTCTTGGAGTGTTTCTTATCAAGGGGATCATTTCACATCGACAGATTCACTTCCAGTCTGATTCCAAGCGGCATCTTCAGCCTGCTGCGGCTTGCCCTCCTCATGCAAGAGGGCAGCCAAAAAGTCACAGGCATTCTCACGATACTCCTCACCATGCGTGCATGAACCCAAGAAGGGGGACTAGGCCGTGACTAGGGATTAGCTGGTGTCATCCCATCCAATCAAACTGCCAGAATGAGCTAGGGAGGGGTGCTCTCAAAAGGGTGGTTACCCTCTTGTAATCAAACATGGCAAGGGAAAATCCTCCATTTATAGTTGATTGTCCTATTAAAACCTCCATTAATTCTCTCTCTCTCTCTCTCCATCGCCATCTCCGAGAGTTTAGCCAAAAAAGGCATCCAAGGCGATCCGTTGGCCAACCAATGCCCAGTTAGTTGCAATCCATAGGATTTTATCGGGGGATGTTCCAAAAAAGCCATCTTTGGTTACCAAATGGATCCAATTCTGAAACGCCAAAGCCATGACCAGCCAATGACCAGCCCGTCCTCACTGAGCTCATGATCTCCTGAAAGCCACTCTGAGCAACTGCTTTTCTGTCAACATGGTCAACTAACTCGAAGAAACATATTCAAAAATCATGGTTGACAATGATATGACCAATGAATTATCGCCAAAAATCATAGTTGTCAACTAACAATGAAAATGAATGAAAATTATTGTTTGTAGCCATACCAGCATCATATTACCATATATAATCCATATATTACCATCCCCACCCAGCAATCAGTGGCCACAACTACCCTCTGGTAAACTAACATAACTATGGAAAATCACCATTTTCAATGGGGAAATTCACTATAAATGTGGTATTTTCCATAGTTATGTTATATAGTTTACCAGAGGGTACATCATATTCAACCATCCCCACCATCCGCCGAGGCACTGTAGACTTCCAGCAGCAGGGCCTTGGCCTCGGCAGCAAAGCTGTGCTTCTCGGCATCTGAGCAGCTCATGGTGCGCCTCGACTCAGCAGGGAAAGCCCTAGGAAAAACCCATGGGTTGTTCCATGGCTTTCCCAGCCAGGCCGATTACCCTCTGGTAATTTAACATAGCTATTGAAAATGACCATTTATAGTGGATTTTCCCATTAAAAATGGTGATTTTCCATAGTTATGTTAGTTTACCAGGGTATCAATACTGCTTCCCAATCCTGAGCTGGTGCTGATCCTCCCTGCCTCAGAAAGAAGTTCGCAGAGCCGTGGAGGAACTTGGCGAGTTGGTCGTTCGGAAGCACCGGAAGCACTTTCCTTGAGGCATCTTGATTTTGGGGTCCAATACTGAACATTTTTTGGCCGCTGTTTAATATTAGGGGAAGGAAGAGCCAACTCCAGCACCACAAAAATAGTTCCTTTCGAAGGCGGCGCCTGGTTTCTTGTCTCTTTCTGAGTCAAATTCATCTCGTATGTGCATACATGCGCATCATACATATCATGTTGACTAACTACCTATATATGATTGTACATATGATTGTATATATGATTATAAATGACATACTTCTATATAAATGTCATTAAATGTCTATCTTTCTGTGCTCTGCCAAGCTTCGAATCCAGTAGCCTTAAACACTTCCGCGCAACCTTCTCGGCCGCCGGGCCGAGCTCCCATACACTCCCGTGGCCCATGAAGCCTGCCTGGTAGAGGACTTCTCCTTGGTTGAGCGGTGGCGACTTGGCGATATGCGACTTCAACAGAAATCAAACATGCTCTAAAATACTGGCGGAATGCAAATATCAAATATAGCTAGCATAGACATCAACCTATCTTAACTGATTTCTATTGACAGAGGTCTGCAGGAAATTGCGCATATGTTATCTGAGTGAACCTTGTGTGTCTGACACATGCTCTCCTCTGCAAGCTTTTCCGCACAAAGCAGTATCAAAACAAAGTGATCGCTTCAACCTACTGCGACTTTTGCGCACATATTCCACTAATCATCAGTGGAATTTCACAGGGAAACCTGTGTGAATATAGTTTTTTTTTTGTGTGTACCCCATTCCAAACTTGAAACTGTTTAAGCATGATTATTAATCACCCCGCCTCCACTTTAAAATATGTTATATACATTGATATGTTAAATCACCTATAAATCCGGCACTAACCGCAGTTTCTGGGGTTTTGCATTGAATATCCGAAACAAGGGGGGGCCTGAGAACCCAAAAGCAAAACGACAGCAAACAAATTCGAGTAATAACTGGTTTATTTCCCTTTCGCCTCTTGCCAGCACCTTTTTGGAAGATGAATATTATGGGCGCATTCACTGCAAAATTCATTTTTTCAGCTCTACAGAGACTTTTACACACAGAGGACGTTTTACACAGAAGCAAGGTTTTGTTTTGTGCAAACGACTTCTCTGTGTCAAAGCCTCTGAGTCCAGCATGCTGTCTCGCTCCCTCCCAGCGAAGCTCTCCCCAAGCTATTTCCACGGTTTCCCCTCCGTCCAGCATGCTGTCTCGCTCCCTCCCGGCGAAGCTGTCCGCAAGCTATTTGCACCTCCCCTTCCTTCCTCCCTCCCTTTCTTCCTCCCTTCCTTCCTTCTCTTCCCCTTCCTCCCTTCCTTCCTTCCTCCCTTCCTTCCTTCCTTCCTCCCTTCCTTCCTTCCTCCCTTCCTTCTCTTCCTCTTCCTCCCTTCCTTCCTTTCTTCCTTCCTTCCTTCCTTCTTTCCTTCCTTCCCATCTCCGTCCAACACTACGTATCGCTCCCCCGCTGCAAACGAGAAACTAAACGAGAACCCAAGCATCGGAGATACTTTTGGGAAAAAACGGGTATCGTATCCTACAAAATTGCCAAGCCACTGCCGCATCTATACATCTGGTTATTTAACATAGCCATGGTTTCCATGGCCATAGAAATAGTGAGGGCCCCATTAAAAATAATGTTTTTCCATAATTTTTTTCCATGGTCAGGTTGGTTGGTCCTCACCTTTTTTCCTCTGAAGCCGGACCCGCCGAATCTTCGTTCTGGGGCAAAATCTTCGTTTTCTGAGCACGGTGTCATGCGACGGCGGCTGATTTCCAAATCAACCTCTTCTTTCCTTTCCCTTCCTTCCCTTCCTTTCCCGTCCTTTCCCTTCCTTTCCCTTCCTTTTCCGTCCTTTCCCTTCCTTTGCCTTTCTTTCCCTTTCTTTCCCTTCCTTTCCCTTTCTTTCCGTTCCTTTCCCGTCCTTTCCATTCCTTTCCCTTCCTGTCCCTTCCGTTCCCTTCCTTTCCCTTTCTTTCCCGAATGCGTAGCAAGGGTTCCCGTTGCCCAACCGTCCGCAACCACTCGCAACCGTCCGCGCGATTGCTATATGGCCGTGCCTCTGGTAAGTTCTCCAGAAGGGGTAATTTGTGCGTTTCGCGTGGCAGGCGTGGCACTTCGTGACATTCAGACGTGTTTTGTAACGTGTCGAAAGTCATTTTATGTGGCATGCGCAATACTTTTGCGACGTTTTCAGAAAATGCGTTGCAGTTTTCGTGGCAGGCGCAGCACTTTGGACGTGTCCATCGTCATTTTGCGTGGCAGGCGCAGCACTTTAGACGCGTCGTGTTGCGTGTTTTTTACGAATCGCATTGGCAGGGCCGCGTCAAGTGGAGACAAGGTGCAAATTCCGTGGCAGACGTGGCATTTTGTGAGATGTGCTGAAAATTGACGGAAGCCTCCCACGAAACATCGATTTTGAGGTAGCAAATTTAAAGGCTCGTACGAAAACTCGTAGGAAAACGTCGGTTTTGAAGCTACAAAGTATGAAAATTGGAGGAAGTCTCGCACGAAAGGCTCGTTTTGATGCTCCCACATCTCTCGTCTCAAGTCTCTGGTTTTCCTGCGGCGTCGCCGTGTCTATGGGGGAAGCTGCAAAATCTCTCCTTTTCAAAGGTTTCCAAGCAGGTTGTCATGTCGTTTTGCGTGGCAGGGGTGGCACTTTACACTCTACACTCCGCACTCTACACTCCACACTGCACACTCTACACTCCACCACACTCTACACTTTGCACACTCCTCACTCCACACTTTACACTCTACACGCCACACTCCACACTCGACACTTTCCACTCCACACTCTACACTCCACACTTTACACTCCACACTCCTCACTCCACAATTTACAATTTACACTCCTCACTCCACACTCTACACTTTACACTTTGCACTTTCCACTCCCCCTTCACACTCTACACTTTACATTCTACACTCCACAATTTACACTTTGGACGCCACACTTTAAACTTTGCACTCCACACTTTACACTCCTACACACTCCACACTCTACACCCCACACTCCACCACACTCCACACTCTACACCCCACACTCCACCACACTCCACCACACTCCACACTTTACACTCCACACTCCACAAACTACACTTTCCACTCCACACTCCACACTCCACACTTTACACTCCACACTCCTCATTCCACAATTTACACTTTACACTCCTCACTCCACACTCTACACTTTGCACTCCTCACTCCACACTTTACACTCCACACTTTACCCTCCACACTCCGCACTCTACACTTTACGCTGTACACTTTACACTCTACACTCCACACTTTACATTTTTGACTCCTCACTCCACACTTTACATTTTTACATTTTACACTCCTCACTCCACACTTTACACTCCACACTCCACACTCTACACTTTCCACTCCACACTTCACACTCTGCACTTTCCACTCCACACTTCACACTTTACACTCCATACTCTACACTTTACATTTTTCACTCCACACTTTACATTTTACACTCCTCACTCCATGCTTTACACTCCACACTCCACACTTCCCACTTTACACTCCACACTCTACACTTTACACTCAACACTTTACACTCCACACTCCTCACTTTACACTCCACACTCCACACTCTACAGTTTCCACTCCACACTCTACACTCTACACTTTACACTCCACACTCCTCACTCCTCACTCCACACTATATACTTTACACTCCACACTTTACAGTTTGCACTTTACACTCCTCACTTCACACTTTACACTCCACACTCTACACTTTACACTCTACACTTTACACTCTACACTCCACACTCCACACTTTACACTCCACGCTTTCCTCTCCACGCTTCACACTCCACACTTTACACTCCACACTTTTATGCTCCACACTCCACAGTCTACACTTTACACTCCACACTCTACACTCCACACTTTACCCACTGCACACTCCACACTCTACACTCCACACTCCTCACTCCACACTTTACACTCCACACTTCCGACTTTACACTCCACACTCTACACTTTACACTCCAGACTTTACACTCCACACTCCGCACTCTACACTTACACTCTACACTCCACACTCTACACTGTCCACTCCACACTGCAGACTGGTAACAGGGCAAGTGTTCAAATAAACTATTGCAGAAAATTGTTCTGAGTGACTGCATATCCATTAACATACGTGTGAGCATTCGGGTTCGTGGGCTGCATCTTAGCCGTCCGCGCAATTCTCCGCACCCATTTGCCGTCCGCCTTCTTCTCCCCACCCATTTCCAGCCACTCCCTCGCACCCTCGCCGTCCGCAGCCGTCCGCGCAATTCTCCGCACCCATTTCCCTTCCGCAACCGTCCGCGCAGCCAAGCTCGCTCATGTGCCGCGGCTTCTTCTCCCCACCCATTTCCAGCCACTCCCTGGCACCCACGCCTTCCGCAGCCGTCCACGCAATTCTCCGCACCCATTTCCCGTCCGCAGCCGTCCGCGCAGCCAAGCTCGCTTCTGATACTCCCCACCCATGTCCAGCCACTCTTTTGCACCCAGGCCATCCGCAGCTGTCCGCGCAATTCTCCGCACCCATTTCCCGTCCGCAGCCGTCCGCGCAGCCAAGCTCGCTGATCTCCAGCGGCTTCTTCTCCCCACCCATTTCCAGCCACTCCCTGGCACCCACGCCGTCCGCAGCCGTCCGCGCAATTCTCCCCACCCATTGGCCGTCCACAGCCGTCCGTGCAGCCAAGCTCGCTGATCACCAGCGGCTTCTTCTCCCCACCCATTTCCAGCCACTCCGTTGCACCCGCGCCGTCTGCAGCCGTCCGCACAGTTCTCCGCACCCATTTCCCGTCCGCAGCCGTCCGTGCAGCCAAGCTCGCTGATCTCCAGCGGCTTCTTCTCCCCACCCATTTCCAGCCACTCCCTTGCACCCACGCCGTCCGCAGCCGTCCACGCAATTCTCCGCACCCATTTCCCGTCCGCAGCCTTCCGCGCAGCCAAGCTCGCTGATCTCCAGCGGCTTCTTCTCCCCACTCATTTCCAGCCACTCCTTGGCACCCACGCCGTCCGCAGCCGTCCGCGCTATTCTCCCCACCCATTTGCCGTCCGCAGCCGTCCGCGCAGCCAAGCTCGCTCATCACCAGCGGCTTCTTCTCCCCACCCATTTCCAGCCACCCCCTTGCACCCACGCCGTCCGCAGCCGTCCGCGCAGCTCTCCGCACCCATTTCCCGTCCGCAGCCAAGCTCGCTCATCACCAGCGGCTTCTTCTCCCCGTTGCACCCACGCCGTCGGCAGCCGTCCGCGCAGTTCTCCGAACCCATTTGCCGTCCGCAGCCGTCCGCGCAGCCAAGGTCGCTCATCACCAGCGGCTTCTTCTCCCCACCCATTTCCAGCCACTCCGTTGCACACGCCGTCTGCAGCCGTCCACGCAGTTCTCCGCA